CACACACCTCTGTTTACTTAAGCAGTAAAATAGGAGTCCGTTTGTTGATCGATTGGTAATCGCTTTTCCGGGCATAATAATTGCTTAAAAATGTATATTATAATAATTTGGTCACACAGTTCACTACTTGTGGGATACTGCTGTGCGTAATTGGCTGCCACATTTTGCCCACAAAATATACAGTCAATTAATTTTTCAGTATATTCTGTGAAGCGCTTTGAAATGTCTCAGACTTAATAAGGCGCTATATCAAATGCAGGGATTATTATTATTACTAATGAAAAAACTGAAAATCCGAAGCTTCAAGTATAAATGTTTCTGCACAACATTCCATAAACGCAGACCAAGGTGCTTGAAATTTAGTAGCCCAGTAATACTGCTTCCCTTAGAAAGTGATGGAGTTTAATCTGTACTATATATGAATGTTGGTAAACAATGATACTTCATGGGTGAAGACTAATTCAGAACATGTTAAAACATAAAAGACTTGTTTCTAGGAAGAATGTTTTCTGATTGATCGATATAGTAGTTCTGAAGTTTAGGAACTTCAATTGTAAAGTTCTTGCAAGCCAGAAGGCTTATCCATTGCTGGTTTTGATAAGTTATTTTGCTAAAAATAAACTTAACTGTTGTCACGCCCATGGCCTGCCTTGAAGCAATGTGTGTATAACTGAATTTAAATTGAATTTTGTGGGTGCAGAAGTCTGTTGGGAGCTAATAAGACAATATTAAATACGCAAGGTAAAAGAAGATCTCTTAAGGATTATTAAACATTGAAAGCTGTTTAAGCTTGTTTAACTTGAACATAATTTCTGGCATGAAATAGATCTTATTTAATGCATACTGTAAGAAGATAGGCAATAGTAGTACTTGTTTGAAAATGTCTTCAAAAATTTTTAAAAAAAATCTCACCAGCAATCTACTTGATTTGCACAATCACTTTTAGTTTGCTTATTATATAATTTTTTAAGTTTAAAAAAACTGATGAAAAATTATAATATAATCATAATCCTTTTATTTGATATAGCGCCTTATCACATCTTCGAGACGTCACAAAGTGCTCCACAGAATATACTGTAAAGTGAATTGACTATATTTTGTGGGTGCAACGTGGCTGCCAATTGTGCACAGCAGTGTCCCATAAACAGTCATGGATTGAGTGACCAAATTATTATTATTTTTTGAATAGATTATTGCACCCGGAAAAACGATCCGCCAATCGACTACCAACGGGATTCCTAGCTACTGCTAGGTAAACAGGCTTGTGGAGTTTCCTTACAAAAATTGACATCCTGAAGGAGATTAAGAGGATGAACAGGAGATAGTAAACCTTTTGGAATTTTTAGGACAAAGTATTTTAGATCTGCAGTGGGGAGGAGGACAAACGGGGTCAGTCTACTGAAGGCAATTTCAGTACTGAAATTAGGTAAGGACACAACCTAATACAGATGGGTGGAAAGGTGATTGTGACCAGGATAGTGGACACACTTAAGCTACAGATAACAATCAAGTTAATATGGTGCACATTGTTACTTTACCCATAAACTGTAAATCTATAACAAAAATTGTCATTTCACTGCTGAGATTCTTTGAATAAGAGATAGTTTAAGGAGGGGTAATTTTAACTTGTATTAATTTCAGAAGTTTATACTTTTGGGGGGCATGTTTTAAACAGGCATCGAAGAGTTGGGCACAAGGCAATGCACAATTTCCAATTTAGTGTTGTTATACCTGGATGAAGAATGTGTGAAATGAGCATATATATTTAATCACAGTCGTTATATTAGAGTTAGATGTAGAAGAAACCACTTTATGTAACTTCTTGTATTGAACAATTAATGTTCATTCATTATATAAGCACCACAGAAGCTGAGGGATTTATGTTTTGTCACTATAAGTGACCTATTTTCACATAACTTTTACAATGTGTGCCTACATTTAAGATCAAAATTTTCTTTTGCATTAGTTTCAAAAATACTTGGAGATTTCAAACCGATTTAGCTTCTGAGATTTTGCATGGTATTCACATTTGCACTCTTGTGTATGATGAGAGGCTCCATCTTCAGTTTTCCACCTTTGGATTGTCTCCAGTGAAACCATTGGTTGGAAAAGATGTGCTGAAAATGTGCACTCGGAGCAACAGTCGCTTTTCAAAGATTAAGTTTTTCCGTATGGAATAACCCTGTGCACTTCACTGTTGTGTTGCACTATTTTGGCAGTTTCTTAAATCCAGGTTAAAGCGAAAACATGCCGAACTTAAGTTTAAAACTATTTACATTATGCTCAATAGGAATTCATGTTCCATTCAAATGCAATAAACCATATACAAATTACAAAGATTTGTGATAAGTAGCCTAATAATTACTGGAACATCCAGCCTTTTCCATTTTGAATTGTACTTTGGTGCTTTAAATTTATTGGCTTAAGATTCTGTATTTGTAAATTAGAAGTAGCTAACATTTTGCAATAAAGACCTACCACTTTATGGATGTTGGCAGTTTCGGAAACTGAAAAACTAATCAGTTTATTAAATCTGGTTGTGCAATCTAACAAATGAGACAACAATGAAGAATAATGAAAAATAAATGAAGAATAATGTGTATTTGATCAATGTTGCCTCTCTAGCTTATGTAAAGTTATACAAGTGTAAGCATATTGTTGCTTTAAAAATGTATGTTTGCAATATATTTTAATATTGTATATTTATAATATTATTGCTTAAAGTCCACCTTATAGTATAGTGGATTTTTTAATGAAGCAATAATAAGTTTGCGTATAATGGGGATCTTAAAAAAAGGTTAAAATCAACCATATAATCTTCCAATCTGATTTTCCAACACCAAATGAACAGAAATGTGTTTGTTACTTATATACATTCACAAATATTGAAGCAACTGTGCTTGACGTATCTATTTCCATTGGAACATTTTTTTAAAAGAATTCAGATGGATATCCTTAATTATGGTCTGATGCACTAAAGCATGTTTATATTTGAAAATTAAATGATTGCATTATATTAAGTTGACATTTGTGTAGCACTTATCTACGTTTTAAATTGTATTCTGACCTTTTTGCATAAGAAAATGTGTATAAAGAGGATCCACATTCTCCTAATATGTGTACCCAAGATTTTTATTTTTTTAATGTCAAGGTTACATTTTTGCCTTTACGAAGCTGAAAGTAAACTTCAAATAACCACTCTGTCCGTATCCAGAAAACGATATACCACTGTTCATTAATTTGTTAGGATATTTACTTGGTAGGTTAACTTGGCAAATATGCAACATTTCATAATGTGGATCTGTCATATGAGTGTTGTGCTCATTGCATTAAATTGAAAAACCTCTGGGTCAAAATATTCAAAGTATTTCAAAGTCCTCAGACCAATGAATGAATTGTAACAATTAGGATGCCCTGTACAAGTTATGGTAAAGAAAAATATTTTGATAAAATGGTTTCCTACCTCCTTGTGATGTTTTGTAATTCATAGCAGACTTGTCAAGATCAACACTGCATTTTGAAAGACTTATAAAACGAAGTGTTAATCAGGCTTTTCTCTCTCATCAATTTCTTGCTGTTCCAACTTTGATACCAATTAGCAGCTGGCTTGTATCTTTCACTGAGAGCTATCCCACTGTCGGTCACTTGTTTCTGCACTCTCTGAGTCTGCTTTCCCACTGATTGTTTGTTGGCCAGGGTTTCCTGCCCCCCTCGAGCACCATGTGCTGCTCCTCGCCTGCTGCTTTCTCTTGTTGCACTCGGGTTACTTGTCGAATAACCTCCCCATTTCTTAGGACCTACCATTATTGGAAGTAGAGCTCTTGTGATGACTAATTGCCTCAGGAGGGGAGGAAGAGAGGAGAAGCTGAGTCTACCTGCCTACGTTAGCAATCTCTTTCGATGAAAGAGAATTGGTTTTTGACATTTCTGCTATATAAGGAGAGGCAGTGAACTCAGAACTGTTGAACTGCCATGAATCAGGCTCTGCTGTCGAGGCACTGTTATATTCCTAGCACTTAACAGTAACATTGCAGTCAAGCTGTAGCAATCATTTTCTCATTTCTGGCATTATTTAATCCCTAGTACTACCTTACTATAATGCCAGTGGTTAGTTTGCCAAGCTCGACACTACTGATGCACTTTATTTCCTCTTATCGCAGTTTTGAATGCAGACCCACACCTAGGTCCAACAACACAATGAACCTGGTACTGAGGATATCTTTTGTCCTTTACATAGGAGCATCAAGATGGCAGTAGGCCATTCAGCCCCTCAAGCCTGTTCTGCCATTCTATTAGAATGTGGCTGATCTGTACTTCAGTTCCATTTACCTACCTTTGCATCATATCCCTTGATACCCATACCTAACACAAATATATCAACCTCAGTTTTAAAAATTTCTATTGAAAAATTTCAATTACTGTAAACTGCTTCAATTCTATGAAATAGTTCTGAAGATTTTCAACCTTGGAATGAAAATAAATGAAGAACCAGATTACTTTAAACCACTGTAAATAGTTGTATAATGTTAACTGTTTAAGTCAGTTGCAACAATATTCATATTTTGGTGCAATGGTCATCCACACAAGTTGCCATGACACTGCACTTTGCTAGAATGGCACCCTGATGGAAAAACACAGTATTAAGCTTATTAAAAGGAAAATTGTGAGGTTGTTTAAAATCAGGATGTGCAGTATTAGAGCACTACATGATGTAGAACCTGTTTAAGCACTCCAGGATTCTACTCCATGTGAAGGGTGCTGTATAAATGCAAGTTGAAGATCACGTCATTGCTTAACAAATGAGGTGCTGCACAACTAAATGTATTTTGAATCCACTTAAAATCCATGCCGCTGATCCATCTGGAAACAGAATAAAGTGCATGGTTTACTTTCCAATTTGCTTTTTATTTAAAAAAATAATATTAGACCACTCATGAAATTATGACAATTATCAATTTTCGAATTGCTTTTTTGTAAAATGTCAGTGCTTTTGTTACCAGATTACCAACAACATTTTCAGGACCCTTCCTCCCAGTGACAATCCAGACTTTGATCCAGAAGAGGATGAGCCGTCCTTGGAAGCAGCGTGGCCCCACATGCAGGTAATGGAACCTTTTTCTAAAAACAAATTCACTTAATAGTACACAGTTTGCAAATTTAAAAACCTCAACGTTTTAAAAGGTTCTTAAAGGTTCCATATCTAGTTCACATATGCTCTCCAGTCAAAGCTGCCATAATCCAAACCTAATTGAATAACCTACAATTACTTTTCAAAACATTTGGGGGCTCTTTAGCGGTTTTCACAAATAATAATAATCCTTGCACCTTGCCTTATCACGTCTTTGAGAATTTTCAAAGCGCAGTGACTGTATACTTTGTGGGTGAAACTCAGCAGCCAATTCGCACAGCAGTGTCCCACAAAAAGTCGTGGATTGAGTGACCAAATTATTTTTATTTATTTTGAAAGAATTATTTCCCTCGGAAAAGCGATCCGCCAATCAACCAACAACCAGGTTCCTGCTTCCGTCTAGGTAAACAGTGTGTGTGGAGTAAGGAAACGTGCCCAAAGTTTCGCCCTGCCTGGGATCAAACCCAGGTCCTCCTGCTTGCGAGGCAAGTGCTCTAACCACATTCCACATTAAGTTTTCGGTCACTGTCATATTGCTCCAGGACGGTGTTGAGCAGAGAGTCCTGATGTTTCTCCACAATCGGAGGTTTGCTCTTATAGACCCAGTTTTTTTTTAGGGCATCTTAAATGGAGGCCTCTGATCATATCCACAAAATGAGTGGTAAAAATAGATCTTAAAGAATCTTCATCCTCTAAACAAACTTCAACCATGGTGTTCTTGATGTGAAAAGCAGTGCTCATGAAAATGTGTGTAGTGATGGGTGCACTATACATCTATTAATTGTCTCCCAATTTAATTTTGTTCAAGCTTGTGTATGAATTTTTCCTGCGGTTTCTCGAGTGTCCGGACTTCCAGCCTAGTATTGCAAAGAGGTTCATCGATCAGAAATTTGTGCTACAGGTGAGTTCATTGTAATTTTATTTGGTAAATTTTGTGTTTATTAAGGTGAAATGTAACAGCACATTATTACAGTTTTCAGCATCAAGATCTGCTCTGTCAAGTATAGTCTGGATTAGAGCAGGATAAAATTAGCCTGAATTGACCAACCTTAGAACAAGCAGGCTTTGCTGCTGTAGTATATTAGTTTTGAATGTAATTGTTAGCGGCCCTTTATGCCATGCAAGTTGCCAAACTGAATTGTCACTGTACTATTTTATGGTATTTTGTATAATGTGAAAGCAAGCTTTTAAACATTTCTAGATGTTTGTGCTGTAAAAAAAGTGCAAATTACAGTAGCTGTTTTAATTCCTTTATTAGCAGCACAGGACAATGAATATTTTGTTGGTGAAACTGAAGAAGGGTGTGTAATTCCTGTACAGTCATCTTGTACAGGAATTGATATTTTGGAAACCACAGTAACAACTTCTATTTATATAGTACCCTTAACATAGTGACATCTCAAAACATTTTACATAGATGGTTCCAGATACTGAACAAGGAAGAGGGAGGTTGCTGTTGAGTGACTTTTGAAGATAGGTATGGAAGATGAAGGAGGAATTTCCAGTGGGTGTGATTATAATGGCTGAAGGCTGTCGCCAATGGTGGGGCATTAGCACTCAGTAGGGATGAGTTAGCAGAGTTGAGCGAGAAGAATGAAACTGGAGAAAATCACAGGGATGGGGAGGTGTAAATTTATGGTTGCATTTGTAGGTGAGAATTAGGTTCTTGAAATCAATCCGTTGGAAGGCACTGGAGCCTGGTGAGGATAGGCGTGATAGGCACATAACACTTTGTGAGGATGAGGATGCACATGTCTGAGTTTTGGATGAACTGGTGTTTGTGGATGGTAGACCTCGGAAGGCCAGGGAGGAGAGCATTTCGAAAAGTTTCGTCTGGAGTTCATGAAGGTGGAACTCAGGTTTTTGGCTGCATCTGATGTGAAATAGGGAGTGAGGCTGGCGATGTGACGAAGATGCAGAAAAGTGGACCAGATCTGAGGGGTGAAACAAGCACCAAGGTTGCTCATTGATCAGCAAGAGAGATGGGAAGGCTAAATGAGATCTTGGCATGAGCTGGGGAGGATGACTTCTGTGGTGTATCCACACTGATCTGAAGGAAGTTGATGCCCATGCAGGCCTTGGAGATCTGACAGAAAAGCGATCAGATCATCATTGGACTTGGAATCAAGAGTAGATGTAAAGAGGTAGATTTGAGTATCAGAAGTGTACATGTAGAAACTTGCCCTACGTTTGGGGAAGAAGTTACCGAGAGGGTTCATGTAGATCAGGAAAAGGAGAGGACTGAGCCCTGAGGTACACTCTAGGTGGTCATAAAGGATAGGAGGAGTAGCCGTTGGAGACAAAATGGAGGTGATTGGTCAAGTAAGATTGGATCAAGCTTGTGTGGTCCCATGGAAATATATAAATAACAGCTTAATTATATTTGAGTTTTATTTGCTATTGTCTGGTGGCATAATATAACTGGTTTGTGCTTGATAGTTGAAACGGTATGACTGTAAATTGGGCTTTATACAAAAAAAACTTTTTTGCTATGAATGTTCATGCAGAACAATGTCCCCATGGATTTTAATTACTGCAAAAGTATTTTCCTTTATTCTGTGTGTGATGAGGTGGGAAATTGAATAAGTGGTTAGTAGAAGCAGGACTTGTATTACGTAGTCTGGTTGAGAATTAGACATGTGACAGTAGAGCAGCAACGAGCTATATGCCTCAACAGACTAATTTAGGACATTGATCGACAGCAGAATTAAGGGATTATTCAAGAGAACTATTATAGGTCAAACCCCAAATCTTTAAATTTCAGCCACTGTGTTTTTTCTTAAGAGCTAGGTTCAACTCCTGGAGTATTTGGGAAGTGCAGTAAATTAACACAGATTTGTCCTGATTATGTTTAAACAGTACATTTGTGTCTATAATGTCTAAGCAGTAAAATTTTATGAATTGATAATTTTACAGTGTTTTGTAAGCCAGAATTGAATAGTGATTGCAATATTTTCAAGGCATCAAGTACAATCTTTAATCAGTCATTTGCTTCCTTTTTCCAATCCCAATTCCTCCTAGCTTTTGGAGTTGTTTGATAGTGAAGATCCACGGGAGCGGGATTTCTTGAAGACTGTTCTACACCGTATTTATGGAAAATTCCTTGGACTTCGGGCATTCATCAGGAAGCAGATCAATAACATTTTTATACGGTATTCTACGATACTTTTTTTCTATCATGAATAAGGCTTTAATATAAAAGTGAGGATATAATGGTAGACATGTGGAAATCGTTGTTCAAGCTGCATTTGAAGTATTGTCCAGTTCTGGGTACGTACTTTAGGAATGATGTGAAAGTTTACTGAGAACTGGATCCTTTGCATTAAAATTGACGGTATATATATATATATATACTACATAGCAATTTCCATGTTATTTTATCAGACTCACTCAAATTATTACAATCAATTTATTAATTTACTTTGGAGAATCAAATGCAGTTCACTCAACTATTGAAATGCATTTCTTATATCTTCAGTCTCGTTGGAATTTGTTTACATAGTGGAATTAATATTTTTCTGACATCCATTTCTAAAGGTTTATATATGAAACTGATCACTTCAATGGGGTTGCAGAACTGCTCGAGATATTAGGAAGGTAAGTAATAATTTCCATTTAATAGCAGATAAATTATATTGCATCTATGTAATTAACGCTGGTATGACTTTTGTGAGAAAGTGAATCTGCTTAATCATTGAACCAAGCTGATCCGTGCTGCCCACAAAAAAGGTATTCTCCTTTGGTTAACTTTTCTTCATTGAATGTTCATGCTTAATGAAGGGTTTTTATGGTGTCAGTCTCTCTTGCGTTTCTTATTCTTAATTTTTTCCTTTTCTTTCTCATATGTTTACTTTATTGGCATATTCCTACTTCCTGCTAACTAAAATGAAGAGCCAGATATTTGAATTGTAGGTTAGATATTTTTGGTATTCTTCTCTGGTTATTATTAATGACCATTTCTAACACAAAGAGTCTTCTCATAGTTAATTTATTGAATGTCTCCTCCCCTCCCCCATCTGATTCCTTGAATAATTATTTTCTTTTCTGTAAACCAGTATTGATCACACTGCAAATGTAAAGCCTTTTGGGTAGTTAGAAAGCATCTGCATTTATTCAGTCTTGACAAGTCACTTGCTTGAAACTTCAAAAAAAACCACCTACATGTTTTATGTAGTTATCTAATCTGTATCTGAAATATTTTGCTATAATGTTCAAAAAGCCTTCATTCATGGTCAGCATTTTAATGCTCTCACCTGAGTGAGTAGTACCATTGGACAGTAAACTGACTTAGTATTCTGAAATTGTACTTATCCAAAAGCCAGCTGTTGCATTCGGCAACAGCTGCACAGGTGGTGGTGCCTTATTGCCTTGTTGAAGTTATCCTTATTTGGTGGAACATGGATACAGAATAATACTTCTTTCTTTGAAGGCTATACTTTGAACCATGCAATCTTTTCCCGTCCTGCAAATTCCTGCATTTCCCATTCTGACAACTGAAATTCCAGGCACATTGCAAGACTAAAATTTTTCCCCAGCTTTGATTGAAGTCTTAATAGTCCATTCCCATCCCACAAGAAAAAAATGAGACACACATTGAGAATTTTTTTTCTAAAAAAATCTCAGAATAAATAATATATTAAGCTTGGGTAAATTGTGAAGAAATTTTGCAAAAATAAATATTTCTGCAGAAAAATATTGATCTATTATTGTACAAGATTTAATTGAGCTCTAGTGAAATACTAACTTCCATATTTGTTTTCAGTATTATTAATGGCTTTGCACTGCCATTGAAAGCAGAACACAAACAGTTTCTAATGAAGGTCCTCATCCCTCTTCACACCGCGAGAGGCTTAGCTCTCTTTCATGCACAGGTATGCCATAGTTTCTATCAGTTTCAAACTAATCTGGTACCAAAACCTACTTTAATATATTTGAGTAATTAAAGACTACATACTAATTATCTGAAATAGAAACAGAAGAATCATAGCAGTTCAATTTGCATCTGATGATAGAAACACGGTTAACATTTTGGGAGTGATCCTTCATTAAAACACTTTTATTTTGCAGAGCTTTTGAAAAATTGAATAAACAGGCATTGAACCTCTGCATTCCTGAAACATAAGTAAAGTTTTGTTATTTGTCCAAACTTTGTTAACGATTGCTTTTGCAGCACACCTATTAAAAAAATATATATTTGGACTACCTATTTCACGAATGTACTAGCAGGAAGTAAAATCTGATACCCAGAAGTTGACCATTTTAGCTTCCTGCGCTTAAAAAGAAGGCAGGTTTCCGAGTCATCAGGTCAGCTCCAATATTTGCACACGTGCAGCAACAAGCAGGAAGTGATATTGGCAGTGGCCTGCTGATCTGGAATTTTAGTATGAGGACTGGCTTGCATGCAGGCAACAAGCCTTCCAGCTGTGTGCACGTGCAGTAAAACTGGCTATTGTGCTTATTAGTGCAGATTGAGATTTTATATATTGAGCACCATGCTATAACGAGACTCCATTGTAATTTATCAATATTTTGCATTCAGACATTAATTTAACGTTTATTTAATCTATAGGAAAGATTTGCTCACAAAATATACAGTCAATTCCCTTTACAGTATATTCTGTGAAGCGCTTTGAGTCGTCTCAAAGACCTGATAAGGCTCTATATCATATGCAAGGATTATTATTTGTTCAGTACATTTAGTACTTAATGCGGGTTACTGGGGGATATATATTCTGTTCAGGAGATGGAAAATCGGCTGTAGGGTGAGCTTTCAAGAAAGTAGCCAGGAAGCGACTCACCCCAGATTCTTATAAGGACCTGGGATAAAAAAAATACAGCCATGTGGGACTGGCAACAGAATGTGTGTAAGAACAGATTATTAACACATCCACACTTGTGGAACTTGGGTGCATTTATGGGCGCTGTGTCCAGAATGAATATATAGGAGTATAGTGGTTTTCAGTGGCAGGGCATCTCTTGTTGTGGGTATTTATTATAAGTTTAAAGATACCACGTGCTTGATTGGATTTGTTTTTAAATGATCGAGGCTGCCCTCTACTGGTGATTAGAACTTCCAGTATCATATAGAAGTGTACACTTGCTGCGTACTTTTTGTCGGTAAGTCCGGTTTTACTACTTCTGTGGGCGGATCAAATTAGCTTTTAGTTCAGTTTTCATTTAGACATTTAGACCATTTAGACAGCTTTTGGCTTTTACTGAAGCATCTTACCTAAGCATCTCTTGTAGACAGACTGAGATAGAGGATAGGGATACTTGATGCAAATTCCCTTATGTTAGTGAAAGTGCATTTTGGAAGTTAGGTGACTGAACCTAGTGTAGTGCCTGCTGAACAAAAATTGAATACGTTTGCTCTGGGACCCTACCCTGTGTGAGGGGGTGCTATATAAATGCAAGTTGTTGTTGTTGAATAGCATTGCACTGTTTGTCAATCTGTTTGTGCATTTAAAATGCTGAGATGTCAACAAACTCAAGTTTCCTGAGTTGGCATTTCGAATATGACTGGCTTGTTTCAGCAGAAGTGACATATTGATGAATACGACCATCATCACAGGTTATTACTCTGCATGTTGAGCAATGTTTGAATATTGTGCTTGGTTGTAGAGGATTGGATGTGTTTTGCCTATCCAGTCAATCTTCTGAAATTGTTGACACTGGAAAAATGCTGTAAGAAATCCTGAATTGAGATTGTCTCACTGACAGTGTTGTATTGAATTATTTTATTATTGTTCTTGAAATATTTAAGACGGAGCAATGGACCTGAAATTCTGCTGTATAGACTGTTTTGAATTTCATGCAGGAGTGATTCAGTTGAATCTGAATAGCGATATGATGTCAATACAGTGCTGGAACAACAAATGGTTTTCAGTCAGATAAAATTCAAATATTACATTACTTCTTTTAACGTTTTGAATACATTGAATTCTGCAACTTTATTCACTTAAGATGCACTGAAAATCCATGCCTGAGATTTCTGTTGACCATTGTACATAAAAGTGGCTGCATTAACACCAGTGATTTTTCTTTCTTTCCATTGGTATTTAGAGCTAGGAAGGATGGATGTGATTCATTTCTTTCACTTTTTTTTTCAGCTGGCTTATTGTGTGGTACAGTTCTTGGAAAAAGATGCAACACTCACAGAACCGGTAGGTTTTGACATCAACTTCTAATAATTCCAATATTAATATTGCAACATTTGTGTTGCCTGCTGTGCACCTATCAAAGTCTCAAAACCATGTTTGTCATATGTCGTATTACCAACTTAGCTCATTGGCAGGACATGGAGAGGCAGACCAGTTACTGGGGCAGGGTATCTTCCCACCTGACTCCTGTTAAACACATAAGCCCGACCACGATGGATAGGTGATCCTTGCTGGACAAGCAAAGGATAGCTTGGCAGATGGTGCTAGTTAAATTGCAGCAGGACTTAAATGTACCTTTTGGGTTCCCAAACCTTAGATCTTGCCTATTATTTTGTAGAATTTGCTAGGCAGGGTGTGCCCCTCTGGGGAGGGAAAGCACACTTTCCATCTGTGTGACCACAATCATTGGAAACTGGATTGAGAATCCCCATTAGTGCTTTTATGCAACACAGTTCTGAATAGAAGAGATGGTCGTCACATGAATCTGGGCTAGATTCAATCGCAAAATGAGAGAACTATTTACTATTCCCCTCAAACTTGCGTCTCATTGAAGGCTTTGCTATTCTAATTATGCATTATTATAGAGGTAAAATTTATGCAATTCCAAAACAGTTAATATTTTCCCAAGATTTATTGGCTCACAGTTGTGCGCTCCTAAACCACAAAAAAAAATTTCCTCCAAATAGGGAGGAATTTCTTCCCTTCCAATTTTAAGGCAAATTAATCCATTTTATCTGTAGGGTAGAGTTTACATTATTAACTACTTTGTACTTGTAGCTTACTTTCAGCCTGAACTGCATTTTGTTTTAATTAGCTTTGTTTGCTTAAATTTTGAACAAGCAAGTTTTCTTCCAGAATAATTGAATGAATAGAGTTGAGTAACTTTGCTTAGTGTGTTGCTTTCTTTCAAATGAGTTACAGATCTGGAACAAAACCGAGCCATTTCTGAAGTTCCTGCAGAATTGAGACGCCATGTAGCATTCGAACAACTCCAGGAATAATTTTTAAGCATTATTCTCTCTCCCAATAAATTTGGGCTTGTGTCATAACATAGTCAAGAGACCATAATTAAAAGGTGCAGTAGAAATCCACTATGAAAGGAGTGCAAACGCTGAGGATCAAGATGAGGGATGAGTTAGACTCAGGTAAGAGTAGGGTTCAGTGATGATAGCTGAAGCTAGAGAGAATCCGTGTGGGGCCATAAGCACTTGAATTATGTCTGAGAGCAAATCTCTCATGAGTGTTCAGCACTTAACGCTGCAAAAGAGCAATCAGAACGGAGTTAAATGCTAGGTTTTAGCCCATCACTGGTATCAAGTCTCAAGTGGAGTCCTGTAGCTCAGCGGTTAGAGCACTCGCCTCGCAAGCCAGAGATCTGGGTTCAGTTCCTGTCAGGGCGCAATGTTGGCAAGTTTCCTTACTCCACACGCCTCTGTTTACCGAGCAGTAAGTAGGAACCCAGTTGTGAGTCGATGGGGGGTTTGCGTTTCCAGGGGTAATAATTCCTTTAAAAAAAATGGTCATTTCAGTCCATGACTGTTTGTGGGACGCTGCTGTGCGCAATTGGCTGCTACGTTTCGCCCACAAAATGTACAGTCAATTCACTTTACAGTACATCTGAGAAGCGCTTTGAGACTTCTCGAAGACGTGATAATGTGCTATATCCCTATAAGGATTATTTATTGTATATCAGAGTACGCAATAAGGCTGGAGAGGATAGTGGAAACCAGTGAAATATAACTATAAAGTTACAGAAAATATTTTCCTCCCCTCTCCACCTTTGCCAAGAATAGATTTGATCAATTTTGAGCAAAAAATTGAAGGAGGAGGAAAATGTTTTCTACAACTTGTATCGTTAAGAACAGGTTTGATCTGTAGAGAAGGTCAAGGTGTGTGGCGTGCGCCTTGGAGCACTGTTTACCAATACTTCATGGACATAGCACATGTTGCAGGACATGATGTCATCCCAATGACCTAGAAATTAGCATTTTTTAGCACAGGAAGTCGGATAGTCTGTTAAAAGTTCATTATACTTCCGGTAGCCACAGGGCGAGTTTGTGCTTTAGAGAGGTATTTAATAAGTGGAATGCCCTGAAATAGAAGATTTACAGCACAGAAGGTCGTTCATCCAATTATTTTATTGCAGTAATAACATTTTGTTTTTGTTTTTGCAATCAGGAATGCTTTTGATTTCTGTGTAATTCTACATGAATTTTAGGAAAGGAAACCATACCTTTCAAATGTTTTACCATTATTGTATAATTGCTTGATCAAGATTCAAATATATCTGCACTTGATGATCAAAAACATTATTATTCAGTCTTCTCCATACTATAATACTTTTCCCCCAATTAGGTAGTTTGTAAAAGCAATGATTTGTAAATTATATGTTGATACCACAGTCTACAAATTGCAGTATTCAGAGTTTTTCAATTTTTTGTGTGCTTTATTCTATTTATTTTTCTTCCTAGGTTATTAGAGGATTACTAAAATTTTGGCCCAAGACAGTTAGTCAAAAAGAGGTAGGTTTATACTGGTATTCAAGTGGATCACATAAATATATATTTCTGTGCTATACAGTGTTGAGTCCTTCCATTATTTGCAATGGTTTTTGTAAATCAGTTTTGTTTCCCATAAATAGTAAAAACAGTACTTTGTAAGATGATGTTCTTATGACTACCTCAAATCTGAATGCATCTATTCAAGAGAATTTTTTTTTAACCAGTGCTCCCATAATTCAATGGTTAAATGCACTATGATCCAGAGCTATAGTGATGAAGAAAGATCTCTTGTTTGATCCCTAATCTCTGCAGTTATCTTGTTTCCACTCACCCACGTTGATGGTGGTGATCCAAAAATAGTCTCCAGTGTCTCCAGGGCAAGGAAAAAATTGGTTACAATTTTTGCTCCTAATCACGATCCAACAGGGAACTCTGTTGGATGTAATCGTGTATATAAATCTTCCATCGCTCACTGTTCAGGCTTCATTACCTGTGAAACTGTATCTGGCCATGAGATACTGCCTTGAGACATTGCGGAATAGCGGGTCTTGTCTGGAATATGCGCATTTGGATTGCCTTATTTGGATGTCAATGGAAACTTTATGGTGATGCACCAACCAAAGATTTTTTTTAAAAAAGTTTGTTTCAATAAGAATTGTAGGCATATTTTTGGCTTCATTAGTAAGTGTGATTTTACAATGTGCAAAAGAAAATGTTTTTTCTTTATATTTTATCTATTAATTAGTGCAATAATCCATCCAACAGTAAGAGCTTGGAGCTGTCCTCCCTTGATTAATAGTACTGTGTGAATGTAAATTGTGTTGTAATACTAAATGTCTGCTCCTAGGTCATGTATCTGGGTGAAGTAGAAGAAATTTTGGATGTGATAGAACCTTCTCAGTTTAAAAAGATCCAAGAGCCTTTATTCAAGCAAATAGCCAAGTGTGTATCAAACCCACATTTCCAGGTAAGCAACCAGCCTGTGACTCTTTAGCAAAGGTGTAAAAATTGTATGATTTCACTATACATTGAGTAAGTATTCATTACTTTTTGAGATTTTAAGTGAATTTGTTTGTCTCTAGGTTGCAGAAAGAGCTTTATATTTCTGGAATAATGAGTATATTCTTAGTCTGATTGAAGAGAACACTGACAAAATCCTACCAATTATGTTTGGTAGCTTATACAGAATCTCCAAGGAGCACTGGAATCCGTATGTATCCTGTTTTTCAAAATGTATTATGAATTTTTATGTTGTCATTAGTTTGCATCTTTCAACAGTTCAGTGACAGCTTTGTATTTATATGGGGCAACCCCATTATAACGTCCCCGATTTAATGCGGCTTTGCTTATAGTGCTGATGTCCTGTGGATCTGCACTCACAGGTAACGCCCAGCTTCCCAGCACTGACTTACTGGCTCCCACACTGGGTGCCCTGATGACCGTAAAGTCAACCATTTTTTTCACACATTATATTGCAGCCTCTGAGGTAATGGACCCAACCAGTACATTATCCTACAATTTACGTTTAAATAGCGCCTTGCACGTCAAGAGGACGTCTTGAAGCATTTGACGCTGCTGGCGGGCACCTGAGCTTGGGGTGATGAGGGGGAAGATGATCAAATGGGGTTACCATTTGCAATCGTAAAATTTTAAATGTTGTTTTAAAAAAAGCTCCAGTATAACCTTTGTATCGCTCTGATCTTGTGTACATCCATCTTGCGGCAAACTCTTATAAATTTGTGAAAAAATTCTTCTTTTACAGCACCATTGTAGCACTTGTTTACAATGTATTAAAAACGTTAATGGAGATGAATGGGGCACTGTTTGATGAACTCACAGTATCATACAAAACAGAAAGACAGCGGTATGTGATAACATTTTGTTTCTCTTTCCCCATTTTTTAATGTATTGCAAGGATTATTTTTCTATCAATATGATTATTTTAGATGTCTAGAGATGTGGAATCATCTGCAATGCAGTTTAAAAAAATGTGTGGGGTATCTGTAAGAACAAAAATCATTGTTAATGCTTACATTGTATAATGCTGTCAACAGAAGCCACCTTTATGATGAAAAAGGTTTTCTATGGTTCTTTGAATTCATAAGATAACCAGAAAGTGTGTTCTATGTAAAATCATTTAATTGTTCTTGCATTTGTGAAATCTGTTTTATATTTTAAATTAATCGATTCTAGAAAATAGCTTATCTGACAATTTGTGTACAAGTCTTTATTTCCAAGATGCTTTTGGTATATAATAAATAAGATGGCAAATGAGTTAGAAAAGTTAAGAGGCAAATAAGTAATGTCCTGCTTTTTAATGTGCTGCAGTTACTTCACAGCACAACCAACATCCTATCCTGAATATGTTTCATTTTTTAGTGAAAAGAAGAAAGAACAGGAGCGTGAGGAGCTTTGGAAGAAGCTTGAAGAGTTGCAGCTGAAGAATGATCAGGAACTTGTTGAAAAGCAGACCAACACCTACAATGCACAAATTGCTCACAACAATAATCCAAGTGCCAAATGGCAATGAACCGTTGATTTCCAGCTGCTGGCTAGGAGTAATGGAGTATTTTTCTTCACGTGTTTTGGAACATACTGGACAAACACAAGATAAAACAAAAACTTCAGTATACTTCCAAAATTAAAAGGCCAATTTTTTTTGGCAAGCTGTAAATTATGTTGAAAGGAAAACAATACGGACTTTGAACATTACTGTGTGACCCACATGTTTGTAATTTTGTCTGATCATGAGTTTATTATGTCACTTTTTAGAGTTCACAGAAAATAAATGAATTTATCATTTGTGACCAGAGTGAGAATAATTGAGTGGTGAAATTATGACTTGAAAGAATTTTTTGATTGTGCTGCATATAGAAAATTAGTCAGCTATTTAAATACAGATTTTTCCCTATTTTATATGTGCTTCTCACAATGCTGCAAAACTCGAGTAATGACCATGAAGAGTGAATTATATGTACACAGAAATCATAACTAGAAAGTTGAGCACAAAATATTGTATGTTTTTTTCTTCAACTAGTCTTTCTGATACCTTGTCAGAGTACCATTCCATTCTGTAACCCTTAGGACCGTGTGGAACTGTTTTGTAATGAGACACCTTTGAGGGGTTTTGAGCAGCATTCAATAAAGCCTACATAATGTTTGTACTTGGATCTCAATGTTTTATTCTATGTAATGAAGCCTGTAAAGCCTATCTATTAACACATTTTTAATAGCATTGTATAAATCAATGACCACATGTTGTAAGCATTGATGTCTGTATGTTCAGTTTCTGGAAATCCTGGAAACTAGGAAGTTGTACAATGGGTTGGCACATAACCCGTCGCTGCTCAACTTGGGTTCAGAACAACGCCATTCAGATGATGGAAGTCTCCTCTCCCCGCTGACTGCAACGAACCGCCAAGAAGTAAACGGAGTTGATCTTGAGCCATGTTGCTGGTCGGCACAGGACCACAGAACACCACGTGCACAAATTGGTGAAGTTCGAGGTTCTTGCTTGAGACGACTGCTACAGTTCCAAGTTGGAAACATTCGTATTGCTTAGGGAGAATTGAGCTTCATTTTGCACTGGACGTGAGGCACCTTAACAAAAGTGGAGAAGAGTGTTCAATGCTCTGGCAGTAACATCCCTTCATGATGTCTTGGAACAGGACAATCTGCCTCTGTCCAATGCTGGAGAATGTGCAAGGAATACCAGTACGACACACTCGTCATCCTGAAATTTCTTGGGTCAAAATATGACAGACTAGTAATTTGTGTTATACCCAGTAAATGGGGCATGGTTCAATATGTTATCACTGAACCATATCAAAAACATTTTGGGCCTGAAACGCACCTCCCTCTGGGCTCGCTCCTTAGGATTTATATTGTAAAATTAGAGAGACCATTTGAGGAGCAGGAGTTGAAAGGCAAGGGCTATAACTTGTGGGGGAAAAAGCTGTGTGATAAGGAATGAATGATTAGAAGCACTCTAGATAGGCTGCTTAACGTTCCTAATGGTAACTGCTATGCAGAACAATGAAATGTTAAGGCACTCTTATGCTCAATAAGCATTAGGAATTTAAGAGTATGATGGTTGATAAAATTTAAGCAGTAAAAGCATTGTACATTTACAGCGGATTGTGGCGAAAACAGTGTTAGAAACAGGAAATTGACAGGCGAGCTTTCAAGGCAGTTAAAGATCAAATTGCACCACAAACCATTACGTGATCTATTCATGTTAATTGAAATCTTGTTATAGTTCTAAATGTGTGCCTGAGCACCTTTATATGGGGAGTTTCTAGGTTTTATCTAAAATATAACTACTTTTTTGTGTCAGATATGAACAGCTGGCTCTTGCCATTGAACCCCATAACTTAAATCAAAAGTGCTATTGAATTTATCTTTTTTTAAAAAAAACAGTAATATTGAATGTATATTCTAAAGTAATGTCTATTAAATTTTATCCATTTTGACTTGCTGAATAAAATGTTGGTCTTACATGGGTGTTGATGTACTTTATGCAGATTAAATATTTTATGGAAGTTGCCAGATGTGTTTGAAATATCTGCAATTTTCTTGTGGTCAAGCTGTCAGCTACTACTAGCCTTAACATCTAGAACTCCCTGCCTCCAATCTTCTGTCTTCTGCTCTCTGTTTTTGTATTTAAATCATTAAAACCTCCCTCTTTGACCAAGATATAGTCGCTTACCTTTCCATCATCTCTTCTTGCTTCACCCCTTCAGCATCCAACCAAAGGTATCATGCGCTGAGATAACAATAATAACCCTTGTGTTTGATACAGCGCCTTATCACGTCTTCGAGATGTCTCAAAGCGCTTCACAGAATACACTGTACAGTGAATTGACTATTTATGCTATATGAAAATTATAAATGTTTCACAAGTTGCATTAAAGGTTTATTGAAGTTTGTCAATTAGCATCTGTAGATTCCATGCAAATTCATCTTATGGATAAGTGTTTGGAGAGAGAATGCAATGTGAGCCATTGACTATATTAATTTTCAGTTGTTGGAAACAGCAAATCTTTGGATTGTGAAATGAACGCTGCTAACTATCCTGTTGTGGTTTATTTAAAACCATAAGAGATTGTAGATTGTAGCTAATTCAGATCAATAGAGTCGGGTCTATTATCTGAATAGACTGACAAAATTAATGTAGGGAAGTTTAAAGATTAGAAGTACTGCATTTGAGACCTGTTTGCCCGTTTTACTGAATAAGATTTGTTATCCTGAGCAGATTTGATTTTCGCTTTAATAATTGAACAAAGACGTGTAAAGGTTTCCTTATTACACTGAGTTGACTGAGGCCACTACAGTTAATGTAAACCCCAAACCTTGTGAATTGTTTTTTTTCCCCCATTGTTATACTTGAAGAACTTTTGTGTCTGTTTTCACCTGTGAAAGGCTGTTAAAACTGTTTTAAAAAGAAATGCAAGGGAAACGTCAATACTGTTTTAAGAAGAAAAAAAATCAACAGTAAGGTATTCATTGGCTGAGAATTTGAGTCAAGGAAAAATGTGTACCGAACAATCTAGTGCATTGCCTCAAGTGGTTTTAGTATGAAATGTAATACAGGATTATTTTGAGTGCAAAATTCTAAATGGTGATTTAATTAGGCAAGTTTTCCACTTGCTGTATAAAGATGCATAATCTATTTCTGCTCATACTCCCCTGGAGAATGTGGGGAGTGTGAAAAGGACAAATAAAACATCAAAACTAATAATAATGGCTAAAACTACAGTCACCTTAAATGCTGAGATGTTTTGAAATACGATACAAGGATTGTTTTAGGTAACAGATTGCCCTTTCGCTTCCAAAACAATTTCAAATATTTTAATCCCCTCTGATAACATTAATTAGATCAAACAATAAGAAACTATCATTTGGGAGGAATTGTATAATTTCACTCAGTTGAAGTATTAAAGGTAACTGCAGTACTTTTGAAGTTGGTCAAGACCTTGTGGGGATTTGAAAGGATTCTGAATCACAGTTAGATTTGCAAGTGCCTGATATGTGTCTTGTGGGTGCATTAAAGTGAGAGGATGTCCTCCCGATCAATAACATTCTTGAGTAAAACGTCATGGCAAACGCACAACAAATAAGCACACAGGTTGGTCACATTTGTACCCAGTTATACAAAAATATTTATTCTTACAAGCTGTAACAAGGTTTAAGTTTTGTTTAAGGACATATTGTAACCTAATGCATTGGGGTTTAGTGGAGTTAAATGCTCATTTCAAACTACTGTAAGTGTACATATCTGAAGCCCAAACCTGACTACACAAATTTAAAGAGACACAGCAAAGGATTGCGCTGTACCTAATAGACAGCAGGATATTAACTGGTTAGTTTATATTTTAGGTGTTTACACAAAAGGGGCTATTGAATCTGACCTGAAATATTCATAGGGAATTTAGTTTCCCAATAAACAATGGTTAAAGCAAACAAAGCTTCCATTTTCATTCACACCATTAAGTACTGTTCTGTTCATTTGCTAAAGGAAGCTCAGAGGCGGACTTTCACACAAATCAACTCAACTGACAGTGAATATGTAACCTGATGTTTTAATCATATCACTGGGAAAGGTAGTCAATGAGGTCAGTCTAACTGCCCAAGACCGGCTGTGGGTGCATTTTAAAATGGGAGCTTATACTTTTGCTCTTCAATTTACCCGACTGTGTAGTCTTTTCCCTGCCACTGAAGAGGTGCTGGAGCACTCGACCCGGATCTCTTCCCGTGGCCTCCAGCAGACACTATCAGGTGCATGAGCGACAAACTCCCAATTTCCTCTTCTGTGTGCGGCCTTCGAGACCCTTTGCGCAGTTAAATCTGAGCATTGCTGTGTGTATGTAGTCTACCAGTCCACAGCTCCAATAAAGTAACTTGCCATTCCTTGTCAAAATATCTGATAAGACAGCCCCATTTTCTCTGCAGAAATGAGCTAGAGATTCAATGTACTGGTGCGCATGAACTTTTAGATTATATAAACTCACAATCAGGGAGTTGACTATTATCTCAGCACTTTGATTTCCTTCCTGCATACATTAAACGAGGCATCACACAAAAAAGGCTGCAAACGTTTGATTGTAGTGAATAAAATATGCTTTTAAAGCAAATCTGACAAGAGAATTCTGTCCACCAATAGAGTCCAGTAAATATAATTTCAGGTTAAAGATCAAATCCTTCAGATAATACTAACCCAGTGCACAGTGACTGATACACAGTTTTCATTTAAGTGCATTACCTGCAAATGAAGCTGCACCAATCGGCAGACTTCATTGCAAAACAGATCCAAAATGTTAGAAGCATTCATTTTTTTGTGATTAAACTATCTTGTGCGTCCAGTTAAAAAGGTTTTTCATATACACACACACACACACGTGTTTGTCAGTTTATAAAACCCTTATCGAAACCACTGAAGGGTTGAAATTCCAGTCAGCATACGTCAGCGTGTGTCCTAAAATTTAAGATCGTGCAGAATTTTTTTTTAGTTAAAATTCAATCGGTTTGGGAGCAAGTTATTTTTTTCAGAACAGAAAACTCAAAACTCCAACTGAAACATCGTTAAGTTTAGCGATGTTCCAAAATTCCGTGCGATCTTAAATGATAAAGGAAAAATAGTTGTGCAGTTATGGTCACGTGGAATATCTAACCTCGTGCGTCCACATGTCTTCGAAGACCAGAAAGCTGGTCTTACTGTGAAGAAGCCATGGATTTCACCACAGACCGGGTGCCACCTTGAACCAACGAAGGGCACGGGCCTGTGAGACTAGCAGCTGCTTTAATGAGAAACAAACTCAATACACGTGTGACTCCCGGATCTCAGACACAAGGAATGTCTCAACCCCCTCTGCGTATTCAAAATACACGGACGAGAAACTACCAAGTCTCAGAGATGTGGTCTGAGAGAGAAGGTCTTTTCCACGTCAATGAAATGAGAGAAAAAAAAACAAATGTCAAGACACGAATTGAAATGTTCTAATGATGCAGCAGCAGTTTTACCAGAAACTCAGGGTTGTTGCACAGAGCAACAGCTCTAAACTCCTACCATTATTCTACTGTAAAAAGGCATCTTAATGACCTGAAGTTTGTAGCTGACTTGGGAACACGGATCATCCACACCAAAGGGTTAACAGCTAAGTGAAGGGTTAGGAGTAGTATAAAACTGCTTCCTAAAAGGAATTGAAATTTGTTCCCCTGTTCAACTCATCTGGTTGAGTTCCTGAGTCTTTATCTTTTGCTGTCGCCTTTTTATTTTGATCATCCACTTGACGCTGAGTTTTGCGAACTCTGCTGCCTTGAACAAAGCCAAGAAGACGCCACAGAGGATGGCAATCGTGTTCCACTGGTTAGCCGTGACTATCTGCAAACATTCAGACAAATAGAATTATTAAACTATGTAGCTCGTTTTGCATCTCATTTTTATTTTAAGATTATATAGACCTACTTTGGGAAATAATTGAATCTGCTCATTGTACAGTTAGCAAAGCATTTTGTGAAAGAATACACTGGACACACGGACAAATGTTCACTGACACACGGAGTTCAGCACTTCAACGCTGCAAAAGAGCAATCAAATCTGAGTTAAATGCTGGTTCTTAGCCCATCACTGGTATCAGTGTCCGTCTCAAGTGGAGTCCTGTAGCTCAGTGGTTAGAGCACTCGCCTCTCAAGCGAGAGACCTGGGTTTGGTTCCTGGCAGGGGGCGAAACCTTGGGCACGTTTCCTTACTCCACACGTCTGATAATAATCCCTCAAGGAAAACAAATAAAATAATTTTTTTTGGTCACTCCATCCACTACTGTTTGCGGGGACGCTGCTGTGCGCAATTGGCTGCCGCGTTTCGCCCACAAAATACACAGTCAATTCAGTTTAGTCTATTCTGTGAAGCGCTTTGAGAGGTCACAAAGATGTGAAAAGCGCTCTATCAATTGCAAGGATTATTATTATTTCTGGGTATGTAGAGTATTCTGATGCGTCATAGATAATGTCTGGTGATATTATTTCTGCGTATTTATTTCATTGGACCATAAAAATATTCACACGCCGGATGGAAAGAAACGGATGAGTGACTTTGGATGAGAAATGTGGGAGACTGAACCACAGATGGCAATTACACTCACGGTTCACCTTTACTCCCACTCCCCCCACAACCCCCGAAGACATAACTACACGTACAACCGACTGTCTCGGTGAATTGTGATCTCAGACAGTTAGAGCCTGAGAAACTAACCACGAGAGTTGAAACACACTTACATCTCGGACTTCCTGAATGAAAGGGTCCTTCCACTCAAACACAACAAAGAACAACTGGTCAGTCCGTTCAGCAGTGGGCCTCCGGTCGTTGTATTTCACGACACTGGACTATGTGAACAGCAAAAAGCAAAATCAAAAGAGCGATTCAGAGTTTAAACGATTTGGAACCGAAGGAGACATCAAACGACTTGTTCCGGGATCAGATATTACTGAAGCTTCATTTATAATCTGCTGCGGAGCCATCTTCCGGAGGGTAGGGTAACGGTCCTGGAGCGCTCGACAGTGGCGGAGTCTGATACCCAGCCTGAGACGGGGAGAGGGAGGGAGGGAGGGAGGTGACTGTAAGCACCATCAAAATGGGAGGTCTTTAGGCGGGATTTGAAGGTGGAGATGAGGGGGCCAAGCGGGGTGGGGTGGGGTGGGGGTGGGGGGTAGTTCCAGAGTTTCGGGGCTTTGAAGTGTCCCAGAAGAGAACAATGATCGTCTTCGTGGATTTATTGAATTACGCTAAAATTACATTGAGTGTCAGTCGGGTTCAGTTTGTAGCAATCTCTGGAGTCAGAAGGTTGTGGGTGATAATTATCATGTGGCGTAACGCATTCCCCCCACCCCCCCTCCCCACCCTTTGAAATCCTTTCCTGTTGGGCACCCATTTCAAGGGTGTTTACAAGTAAAAGACTTGAGTTAAGATATTCCAAACATCTATCTTTTGTCAAAACTAATATCATAAGGAAGCAGACCTAAAGAGGAAAACCAGGAAGGCACATCAGCTAACTTCAAATTATATTTACTTCATAATTACATCACCCCCAAGAAGCTTTGATCCAAATTTTAGAGGTCACTGAGCCCAACAATAATTTACTGACTTGGAACCAATTAGCCATTGGAGTCGATCTTTTATTGCAAACATCTATCATCAGAGACAGTCTCCTGTTACCTCTTGTCTGAATTCCACTGATTGACTTCCATCTTCTTCAGTGGTTTTTACGAGAGACATTTTGACCCAAGTCCGAAAACCACCGGAAAAGGTCCAGATGGAATAGGAGAGTTCGCAGTTCTTCATGAACAGCACTTTGTCAGGACTGAAAAACAGCCACAAAACTCTCGGTTCAGTTAAGACAAATGCTTGGTTATTATTTGAATTATTTTTATCAATGTTATGATAATTGTTACCAATCCACGCCTGTTTGTGGGACAGACGCTGCTGTGCACAATTGGCTGCTGCATTTCACCCACAAGATATAGTCAATTCACTTCACAGTGTATTCTGTGAAGCGCTTTGAGACGTCTTGAAGATGTGATGAGGCGCTGTATCAAATGCACGGATTATTATTATTATGCAGCGCTAAACCCAGGGAAAGCTGCCAGAGCCCTCTCCACGTTACGGTTTCATCCAGCCTGGTCTCAGCTGATCTCGGAGCCACCAATGACATTAATCATCGGAAAAGAATCCCTGTAGATCACAACTGTATAAATCCTTCACCGGGACCAACCATGAATTTTCATCAGAACCTAATATCTGAAATTCACTGCATTTCTAAAACGCCTGGCAATCCGACAGACGTTTACACCTTTCTGATCCCACACGATAACCGTTGCCAGCAGGCCTACTGCGGAAGAGAGAACCACTTACAAAGTCCGGTGAAAATTAAACGAAGCGATTTTTTTCATATAAAAAAAAAGTTCCTCGCTCGAGAAGCAGTCATCCACACTCGGCTGGACCGACAGCAACAAAATAGTTCTCCTCCCGCCTCGAACTCTTCCCCCCACCCCCATAAATATGAAGTACACACTGGGGCGGAGGGGGGTGGGGGGGGAGAAGCCCGGTCAGAATCTCTGTCTCACCTCTCTTGAAATTCCTCGAATGATGAGAACAAAAGATAGTCGATGGCACTAAAGTCTTGTTCCGTTTCATTCAGGCGAAACTGCAAGAAGACAACCTCCCTCTTCCTCACGTCTCGTGGGCCACGGACGACCAGAGCGTATTTCTACGGCGACAAAAAAAAGGAAAGTAATTATTTAATTAATTAAATCCCGTACAAAAGATCTTCCAAAAGATGTGGCCGCGAGAGTTAAACTTGCAAAGGCCCCCCCCGCCACCGCCAGCAATCACTGCTGATTTAGCAGCTACTCAGCTCCAGTGTGGAGGGAGTGCAGAATCTGCTGCTCAACCCTTCATGTGCAGCTGAAAGCTTCACCGCTGTCATAATGGGAAGCCGAGGAACAGGAGGAGGCCATTCAGCCCATCGAGTCTGTTCTGCCAATTTATTAGATCACGGTAGATTGTTTAACCGTGTATCCTGTGAACTGCTGAAAGTGCTTGAGATGTTTGCCCCCAACTCGAAAGCTGCCGTGTCGAGTGTAAGTACTTATTATTCCAACTGTCGATGATCCTTTGTGTAATGAAACCTTCCCCGGTGTCTGTCCCTCAATCGCTGTTCATGACACTCTTCTCCCAGTTCTTGCTGCATTTGGAATTGTTGTTCTGGGTTTACTTTAATGTTTAACACAGTAACATCAATGTCCAGATATATATCACATTTTCCTGCCTAAATATTTGCCTCCTCAACGACACAGGTATAGAAGCAACGACACTGAGCGATGCCGGTATTGCAACCTAGTTCTCAGCCCCAGTCCTCGGCCTGAGTTGTCAAGCCCTTTGGGACGTCCTCCCGATGTGAAAGGCCCTGTGTAAGTATAAATTGTAGTATAAATTGTGGTGTATGGCTATGAGAATAATAAATGACTTCGAACTTTACAACAGGACAAATTGCTTGAAATGTCTTTCCCACCCGGTATTTGCAGACTTGTCCCCACTCCATAAAAATGAGAAGTTCTGAAACTCGCATTGTATAAAAGAAAACACAGGAAGAAGTTGTATTTCCTGTACAGCCAATATCACAGTGAAAGGTCTAGACAGAAGGTAAATGTGGAGTAGTTTATTGATACTATCTAAACTACAATCTGCATTAACTTCCTTAAAACTCACTCACATCCTGTCACACTCACATACCTACCTGTGGGGGTGTTTCTGCTGTATGAGACTTTTTCCATTTAGTTTCAGGTATCGTAGTGGTGAACATTTTAACCGCGGAGTTGTGCTGCTTAAAACTGAAGCACATTTATTGCACCACCGGATCTGTCTCACTCGATCGCACAATACAGGAAAGATCCATTACTCTGTTCAAGCCCTTTCACACAAACTTAAGAACAAGAACATAACAATTGGAGAATGGCACAGAAACAGGTGATTCAGCCCGTTTTTAATTCGCACAAACCGACACTTCCCACTCTCCTGTTCGCTTCCCAGGCCCTTTAATAATCTATATATAAAAAACACAGAAGTTCCTGGGAAAACTCAGTTGAAGGGGTCATCAACCTGAAAGGTTGACTCGCTTTCCTCTCTCCGCAGATGCTGCCTGACCCGCTGAGTGTTCCCCCGGCCACTTCTGTTTTTATTTCAGATTTCCAGCATCTGCAGTATGTTGCCTGTCCTTTTCGTATTCTACCTTATCAAAGGTGATATCTTCTGCTTATTCAACTCGGGGCATCTCCTGATACAATTGTGAACGTCACCTGCAGACGAACACCTTTTGCTGAATCCGGAACCCTAATATACCTTCAGCCGAAAAAGAAAACAGCAAGAAATCATGCGGTGCCTTACCATGGTTTTGTTGCTGAAAGGATCGGTGTAGTTGACGTGTTCCGTAACACAGTCTGTTGCTCCTCGCTGGCTTGGATGAGCCAGTGGCTGGATGTGATCATGGTAATAGTGCTTACAACTGAGGACCTCTGCCTTAGCTAGGTACAGTGCTATGCCTGTGAAATGGATCAAACACAAACAGACTCTCAGTTACAGAAGAGCTTACAACTTGAACGAGTAGCCATTTGCAAATTCAAAGCAAACTGCTTCAAATGCAAGGATTATTATTATTATTAGAGAGAGAGAGAGAGAGAGAGAGGGGGAGGAAAGTTTTTGCAAGGTGTGATGGAGCCAGAGGTGATAGAAGTGGGTCGAGTGTCAAACTGCAAGTGGAAGCAGAATTGAATGCGTTCTCTTCTGTTTACAGTACCATTTCCTGCCAAACTGTGTCACTGGCACAATCTGTAAACGTCTGAGCATAAAGGATGCCGATAAAACAAAACAACTGAGGGCCTAACTTCCTGCCCAGGGGATCGCAAGCCCTCAGGTTCAGCCCGGCAGAGCCTGGAGCCCTCTGGCTGGACAATATTCAGCCCGTCAGCCGGAGAAGATCAGATTCACTATTAAAAATGTCTTGTTTGCCCGGATTTTACACACAAATTCTGCTTTCTCCGAGTGGCACAATTAAACACAACACAAAGTGACCTTTGTATAGCCCCTCTCGCGCCGGGAGGACGTCCCAAGGTGCTGTGGATGTCTATCTCAGGATGGGCCAGAGATTTTTTGAGATAAAGTCTCCGCTCATAGTAAGGGAGGGGTTTGGTGTGGGTGGTGGGGTGGGGGGGGGGGGGAGCGAGGGAAGAGGTGCAAGTCTGTGGCCTAATCTCACCGAACCCGAGACACCAGCCGGCGCCAAACAGGGGTTGTTGTTGCAGATGACCATACGGGTAAAGAGGTCGGTAACGATTGGTTTTAATCGAACCGTTTACTGAAAGCCGAACGTATCAGCACAAACCCTCATGGGACTGTCTACCCCATCGCTGCGGAGCCAAGGACACATTACCGCAAACAGCAAGACGCAATTCAGAACGATAAGGGACTCCCTCGGTCCAGCAATCGTGAGTCGACCTTGGAGCGATTATTATACTGACATTATGAAATCTTTTTTTTCCCCTCTTCCTCTCCCTCTAGATAACAGCGAACCAAACGGAAAGCAACTCTGTCGTCCCCACACACCACCCCCACCAAATATTTGGCAGGTACGGGCAGCTCTAAATATCAGGCGGCTGCGGTTAAGATGATACGGCAGCTATCGACGTGTAAGTGTCGGACCTCGCACTTCATTTTTGTACGAACAACCCGGAAACGTTTAGGAATCTCAGGGTTGTTAACGGTGCCATCGCTTATTCACTTGTGCAGTCGCCCAGGAGTCAGTGGAGTCAATAACAAAAAAACCTCCCTGATGTCCGCGAGATGAGGGACGTACATTTCAGCAGTTTTCTTAAAATGTGACAAAGGTGGCAAGGTTTACAGCTTTATTGTTATTGTTATTATTATTATTATTAAGTTAATAATCCCTTTTAAAAAATTAATAATAATTTGGTCACTCAATCCACGACTGTTTGTGCACCAGCTCACAACGTGAAATGCCTTGAGACATCCTCGCGGAGTGAAAGGCACCACAATTAAAGTAAATTGCGTTGTAATTATAAGCTGCTGAATATGTCAGCATTAAAATGCCAAGGCAAGCAACTGCAATCTCAGCAGTTATTTTCCCTCGTTACTCGTGAATCACTGTCACTAAGGCTGAGCTAAAGCTAAGACTAATGCTAAGGATCTGAAACTCTGTCTGTCCAGCGCCTTGGGACGTCCTCCCGACGTGAAAGGCGCTATACAAATGTAATTTTGTTGTACTTGTTGCTGTTGTTGTTAGCGTTCTACTAAAACATCAATGCCAGACTGTGGAGCTAATCAAGGAGCAATTGACACCGTAATGGATCTAGAAGCTGTACTTTAAAAAAACACAACTGCTTTAAAATCTGAGAAATGTAAGAAGTGAATGCTTGTAGCCTGAGCCTCACAGAAAATATCAGGCGTCAAAATGGTATCATTCATATCACAGTCATCGTTTGGCCCAAAAAATACAGTCAATTCATTTTACAGCCTATTCTGTGAAGCGCTTTGAGACGTCTCGAAGACGTGATAAGGCGCTATGTTAAATGCAAGGATTATTATTATTACAGTTGCTAATATTGTAGAACGCCACTTAACTGCCCACTGACTGACTATTCGCAAAGCCACTCCTCTGCTTTGGAGTGAAGTTAATCTGTGGTATTGGTGACAATCATATGGTGCAATGTTCCCAAGTGCAGGGTGTGATTTTGTTTCTGGGCAGCACGAAGAGAGAGTCTGGCCCCGCTGGGCAATCAATTCTCTACAAAACACAAGTGGTAAATTCACATCGCTTTGGTTATTGGCGTAGAGACACCGAGGTCCAGATACGTATAACCTTTCGACTCCTCTAATAAGACCAGTCAGTTGAAACAATTTATGTCAATAGCGTTAATTAAGAGACAAGTCTCACCCGGAGCATCGAACGTCACAACTTCCTGGTAGGAGACGGACATGACCGGGTGTTTGAGCTTCTCCCTGAAGTCTGTGATTGTCTGATAGGCCAGGAATACCGCCACAGACATCAGCAGCAGATAGATGAAGATGAGGATCACGGCAAACGTATTTTTCAGACAGGCTTTACCGAAGATTGAAGAGTGACTGGCAGAACTCACGTCATCTGGGAAAGAAGCAAAGCAACTCGAGGTCAAAATGCCTTCAACGTACAACCTAGGCGTTCATTTGTTGACGGGAGCCTCAGCCCGAGAAGAAACGTTCAGTGAAAGGGTCAATAATCTTAACAGAAGCCTTGATATTCAGAGAAGGGCTATTGAATTGTCTATTGCTGAGCGTTAGATCTTATACAGTAATGTGGATCCTGTAGCTCAGTGGTTAGACACTCGTCTCGCAAGCGAGAGGACCTGGTTTCAATTCCTGGGCAGGGCCAAACCTTGGGCAAGTTTCCTTACTCCACACGCCTCTGTTCACCGAGCAGTTAAGTAGGAATCCGGTTCTAAGTCAATCGGTGGATCGATTTTCAGGCGGTAGTCGCCCCTTCAATTGTTTTTTAAATAATAATAAATTGGTCACTCAATCCACGGCTGTTTCTGGGACGCTGCTGTGCGCAAAATTGGCTGCCGTGTTTCGCTCACAAAATATTCAGCCAATTCAGTAGATCCCGTGAAGCGCTTTGAGACGTCTCGAAGACACGATAAGGAGGCGAGGATTACTATCATTTAATATGTCTATATAACGTCCTGTTCGCTTGGCGGAAATCTTTGTGCTCAAAGTGGGTACAATTCCTACACGAAAAGTAGATTGCCACACACACACACACACACACACACACACAGGGCGATTCAGACAGATTCTCGTTTGTTTTGGCGAATCCACCTCAATCACAACAACGGTTTTTACCTCGAAGGACACAAGAAGTAACAGACAAAATAAAGATATCTAAAAAGAAACGGTACCAGCAGCAACGAGTGTCTGCTCGCTCCTGGACCCTGCACTGAACTCTCTCCACCAGATCACAAAAACAACCCTCCCTCCCAGGCACGTGCTTGATAATGGTTGTAAACGAGACAGAATGAGGGGGGACGGAAAGGGAAAGAAAGAAGAGGGGGCCACAGACAGATATAAAGAACATTTGATGACCGAGATCTCCCTCACTCGATGGAAAATCCTAATTCCTGATTATACATTTCATACTATGGAAACCGGTGAAACACAGTTGAGTGATGTCCTCTTGACGTGAAAGGCACTGAATCAATGTAAACTGAACTATAATTGCATCGTATAATCCATGATCGGACTGCAATAAAGCCCGATAGAGCACCTCCCGCAAGCGTAGAGAAACAACGGATTCTCTTATTGTTTCAGAGAATAATTTCTGCAATAAGAGCGAATTCATTATTAATCCCGGCGGTGATTAATAAATGAAGCTGATCTCAGGTCGGGTTCGCACCCCGTGATTTTAGCCGCAGGACACACACACACACACACACAAAAAAAAAGCCAAAGAAAAGATTTTAAAGCTCTTCTTTCTGTTTCTCGACTGTAAGCGCTTTGGGACGTCCTCCCGACGTGAAAAGCGCCATATCAAATGCAAGGATTATTATTATTATTATTACCTCTGAATACTCCTCCGTTGGCATCTTCCTGCTCCACATCGGGCTCATTCCTGATCTCCGGGCTGATATTTGCTCTTTCTGCTTCATCTTCAGCCAGCTGCAGAAACCCCGAGACAGTGACAGGGTGTTAGCAACTCAACACAAACCAACCACGTGCGTCAGGGAACATTCCAGCAATTGAAGGATCGGTTGCGATCGATAATAAATACTAAATCGGTCACTTCAATCCGCGGCTGTTTGCGTGTGGGACAGACGCTGCCGTGCGCAATCGGCTGCAGGGTTTCGCCCGCAAAATATACAGTCGATTCACTGTACCGTGTATCCAGTGAAGCACTTTGAGACGTCTGGAAGACGTGATAAGGCGCTGTGTCAAATGCAATGATTATTATTATTATTATCGAGTTGTTTGAGATATCGGGACTTTAAACGAATTCCGTTTCAGAGCATGCGACATCTGGGCTGATGATGTAGTCCAGCTGGACCAAATATCTTACTGTTCCGTGGACCAGCGAGACTTGGGAGGGTCAGACCAGTCTTTGGGGCAAGGACTCTTCCCACTAACGCTGCAAGCCAAAGCTCCAATGAGTTGAGGATCCGAGCAGGACGAACAGCGGGACGAAGCTTTGCCAGTGTTCACAATAGTGAGCTGCGCAGCTCTGAGCTACTTAAATCACCTGAACGTGCGCCCTCCAGCAAACTTCCCGAAGATTATTTGAGAGCACAACTGATATTACTCATCATTTGATAAAGCCCCTGCAACACTGAGATAGTGCACGCGCTCCAATACGGAATTGCCGGCGCGTGCGGTGACTGCGTTTTGCAGGCAAACCCAGCGGCCAATTTGTGCACCGGGTCTCCCGCTCCAGACCAAGGACTACATTTTAATCGGGAGGAGCGCTGGCCAGAGCGCTCGCAGCTGAGGTCAAGCGGAGACCTTGTAAGGAATTGTGCCGAGTCGACTGTGAAGTTGTGATCCCAGGAGGACGGGATCGGGACTTCCTTCCTGAGAGCGCGGAGTTATTTTTGTGTTGCGATCCAAGCTCTCGTCTCGTGACCACTAAACCACGCTGTACCCAGACACGAGGAAAGCTCCGTCTTGTTAACTGGCAATGCCCCAACGCCAACTGCAGTACATAACGCCGTTACTGTCTGTACGTGGACCGAAGCAATCCACTCAACAACAACAACTTACATTCCTACAGCGCCTTTCAGCCCAGGAGGACTCGAGCGGCTTGCCAGCGCGTTCGAGAGGTCTCCCGCCACGGCAACGGGACAACACGCAGCAATCAAAAGCCACCACCACCGCCGCCACCACCACAACAGCAGCAGCAGCAGCAACAACACGACGCACGTTACAAGGCCTCCCACTCAAGCGGACGTAGGCACGGTCGAAGAGGGAGGTCTTTAGGCGCGACCGGTACGTGGGGTTTCTCCAGTCTAATCGTTCCAATTCCGTAGAAGGGTTACACCCGAAGCGTCTGTTGCTCACCGATCCTCATTAACCTGTCGTCCAGCGGCAGAACTTTCCATTACTTTGCAGAGCTTTCCAGCAGCCGAAAAGTTTTCCTTTCTCTCTAAATCCTCTCGCGGCACAAAATCGGCTTTGCCTCCGCATTAGACCGTACATTTCCATCTCCGAGCCAAACGCCAGTCTATAAAATCCTGTAATAAACCCCCCCCCTCCACCTCACCCGCCCCCGGATCAGAGCTACCTGGATATTCACAACGCACTCCCTGGATTCAACCCCAATTTTACACACCTCCGCAAAATAATCTGCTTTCGAATTTCTTTCCCCCGCTCCGCGACCTTAAAAACGCTTCCGATTCATCCGAGGGGACGTGCGGTCGCCGGCAATAAAGTCACTCGAGTCTCCACCTCCACCTCCGGAAATCACCGCGCGGATTCACTCAGGATTACGCAGAGAGGGGGGGGGGAGGGGGGAGTCGAGGAACCAAGCCCCTCGTCAGGACGTTGTTGAGGCAGTTTTGGGTCGGGTGTTCAACATCGACCTTATATTTTTTTCGCCCACAAAAACATACAGTCAATTCACTGTACAGTCTATTCCGCGAAGCGCTTTGAGACGTCTCGAAGACGTGATCAGGCACTGGTATCAAGTGCCAGGATTATTATTATTATTATTTACAGTACAGTATTGTGGAGTCCTGTAGCTCAGTTGTTAGAGCACTCGCTTTGCAAGTGAGAGACCTGAGTCCAATTCCAGGCAGAGGGCGAAACCTTGGGCAAGTTTCCTTACTCCACACAGAGCCTAATAATAATCCCTCCAAAACCAAAAACAATAATAAATTGGTCATTTTCAATCTACGACTGTTTGTGGGACATTGCTGTGCGCAATTGGCTGCCGCGTTCGCCCACAAATATACAGCCAATTCACTTTACAGTGTGTTCTGTGAAGCGCTTTGGGACGTCCTCCCGACGTGAAAAGCGCTATATCAAATGCAAGGATTATTATTATTATTATTACAGTATATGATTACTATGATCATTGTGTTTACAGACACCGCTGCTGTTATTATTTACAGTATATTATTATTCACAGTGTGTCCTGCGAAGCGCTTTGAGACGTCTCGAAGAGGTGATCAGGCGCCGTATCATAACGCCGGGATTATTAATGTTATTATTATTATTGTTGTTGTTATTATTACTTTCATTAGACTATTCAAAACAAAAGGGAGAAGGGAGCATTTCTCCGAGCGTTCCAGCCAGCAATCTGCCAGACTAAAAACAAACGTCGACGACAGCAATGAAATAATAAGTATTGTACCACTGCAGCGCATAACGTCACCGCGAAACCATAAGATATAACAAAACCGTCAGAGGCAAAAAAACGATAAAAGCGCAAAAACAAAAATAACCAAAAACCACCGCAATAAAAAAATAACGACCACCACAACGACGGCGACGACAATAATAATAATAATAATAAAAAAAAAACACCACGGTTTGCGGGACAGCGGATGATTCTGGACCGAAGTAAAGAGAGAGGGTGAGATGATGAAGCACAAAATAATAATAATAATAATAATGATAATGATAACGATAATCCCTGCGTTTGACACAGCGCCTCACGGCGTCTTCGAGCCGCCTCTCAAAGCGCTTGGCGGGATGCACTGCACGGTGTAGTGACTGTGGGTTTTGCGCTGAGCGAAAGGTTGGCAGCGGATCGCGGCCCCGGCACCGCCCCCACAGACAGCCGCGGACCGAAGCCCCGCGTTATCATCATCATCATCATCATCATTAGTATTTATTATTTTTGAAGCGATTATTACTCCCCTCTCCTCCCCCCCCCCCCACCGCCCCCCCCCCGCTCCCACCACCCACCAGCACAGCCCACCCCTCACTGCCCCCCCCCCCCCCCCCTGACCTCAGTGTAGGTTCCGCCGATGTCTCTCCTGATCAGCGCTGAGGCCATGGAGCGGGTTGTGGAGTCGGTGATTCTGGGGCCATTCGAGAGGCCACCGGGAGCCCACACCGGGGGCCAGAGACCGGGGACCGGGGGCCAGAGACCGGGGACCGGAGACCGGGGGCCAGCGACCGGGGACCGGGGGCCAGAGACCGGGGGCCAGAGACCGGGGACCGGGGGCCAGCGACCGGGGACCGGAGACCGGGGACCGGGGGCCCACACCAGAGACCGAGACACGGAGCCTCGTCCCCCCCACTCCCGGGAGGCGATGTTGTCGCTGCCACTGAATCACCGCCAACCCCGAGACTCAGCCCCGCCCCCTGACCCCCACAGCCCCGCCCCCTGACCCCACAGCCCCGCCCTCTGGCCCCGCCCCCTGACTCCCACAGCCCCGCCCCTGACCCCCACAGCCCCGCCCCCTGACCCCACACAGCCCCGCCCCTGACTACCACAGCCCCGCCCCCTCACAGCCCCGGCCCCACATAGCCCCGCCCCCGCACAGCCCCGCCCCTGGCCCCGCCCCTGACCCCGCCTCCCGGCCCCACATAGCCCCGCCCCCGCACAGCCCCGCCCCCTGACTCCGCCCCCGGCCCCGCCCAGAGGGAGGGTTGTGATTGGATACCGTGTTGGAGTGAGTGACAGGTTGACTGGGTCCTTCCTGGTGGTATCTGTGTGTGTGTGTGTGTGTGTGGGGGGAGTGAGGGAGTGAGTGAGGGAGGGAGTGAGTGAGGGAGGAAAAAAAAGAGGAACAAACAGCAAAGAGGGAAAGGAGGGGAAGGAGTAAATAAAAAGAAAAGAAAAGAAGCAAAAGAAAAGAAAGAACAACAACAACAACAAGATTCCATTTATAAAGCGCCTTTCACGTCAGGAGGACGTCCCGAGGCGCTCAGAGAAGGGAAGGGAAGAAAGAGAAGAAGGGAAGAGAAGGCAGATGGCCGGGGGCGGCGGTGCCGGTGCCGGTGCCGGTGCCGGTGGCGGTGGCGGTGGCGGTGCCGGTGGCGGTGCCCGTGGCGGTGTCCGTGGCGGTGCCGGTGGCGGTGCCGGTGCCCGTGGCGGTGCCAGTGGCGGTGCCGGTGCCGGTGGCGGTGCCCTGGCCCTGGCCCTGATCGGTGCGGTGGCTGTCTGGAGTGCCTGGGGCCAGGAGGACCGCCCCGGCCCGGAGCCCGGCCCTGCCCCGCGGGAAGCCGTGCGGCTCTTCACCGACGAGGACTTGGCCAAGTACAACGGGGCAGAGGTGAGCCCCGCCTCCCCCTCGGAGCAGGGCGTGGGGGGGGGAGGGGGGTCATCGACTGCTGGAGCTGACCGTCTTCGCTGGAACCCCCATCAGGCAGTCCAGTCCCCCTGCCCGGCTTCCCCTACCCACCCCCACGGTCCATCCCCCTAACTCGCCTACCCCTACCCTCCCAACTCTCCTGATCCCATCCCCCCCACCCCCCCCCCCCCACCCTGCTCAACAATAACTTGCACGTACCCAGCGCCCCCTCACTCAGGGGCGCTTGAGGGTGGCGGAGCACTGATGCCCGAGCCCGGGGTGGGTGGGGGGGGGTGAGGTGAGGGTGGGAGGTTGACCGTAGGCACTTGTAGGTCGAAGAAGAAGAAGAAGAAGAAGAAGAAGGTGTTCGGGTGCGACCCGAAGGTGGGGAAGGAAGGAAGGAAGGAAGGAGTGGGTGGGGGGGGGGCGCAAGGCGGAGGGTTAAGAGGAAGAGTGCAGCGCCTCGGGACGTCCTCCCGACGAGAAAGCCGCGCTCTATGAATGTCACGTTGTCGTCGTTGTTGTCGTCGTTGTCGTCGTCGGTGGTCGTTTGCGGTGCATTCTTTCGCGGCGTCTCGAAGACGTGATGAGGCAAAGGATTCCGATCGTTGTTCTTCTCAATCTCTCCCACTCCCATTGTTGGAAGCGTCTATTCCATTCCCTTCTCCCCCACTTCCCCCCTACACCCCCACACACTACCCCCCAACCCCCCCCCCCCCCAGCCTCCCCGCACCCCCACACACACACCCAGAATGTCGACGTGTGTTTTTTTTGGTGTGTGATGGACTGGGGCTGCCGTGGCTCCATTGGAACTGTTTTTTTTGCGGGTGTTTTCTCCCCCCCCCCCAACAACGCAACGAAAACCGCGCCGAGTCGCGAAACTTTTTCAGGGGGCGGTTTCGCAAAAGGAATGGGTGGGGGGGGTAGACGGGGACGTGGAACGGGCTGGTCACCAGTAAAGCGCGTGACCGGTTAGTTCTCCGCAGGCCGGTGCGGTGGCAGCAGCTTCCTCGTGTTAATGTCCCGCGTGTGCGCGCGTGCGGGGGGGTGTGTGTGCGTGTGGGGGTGTGTGTGCGCGGGTGGGTCGGCACTTTATCCTTACCGTGGGGTCGTCTGACCCGATCTTCGAGCTTCCTCCAGTCCCACCCTCCCACCCCGGGGGCAAAGATCAGCCAGGGATCCAGCGAGTTGCGGTCAAATCCGCTGGTGTGACAGACATACGATGGGGGTGGGGGTCTCGCTCTCTCATCCCACTCGCCTCGCTTGTCTGTTTAATTTTTGTAGTACCATTTATCGACAACTAGATACCCTCCCATTGACAGAAAACACTACCCGAAAGCCGCGAAGCTCGGGTCAAGGGGGAATTTTCTGCAGTTTAAAATCACCGACCAGTTCAAAAACCTACCGGAGACACTTCCCGAAACCCCCCACCCCCCAAAAAAAACCACCCAAACATTTCGACTCCCAACGGGATGATGTGAAGCATTTATGAAAGTCTTTCCCGAAACGATGGGCGTGAGTGCAATCAGCGAAGGATCGTAACTTTTCACAGAACGTCCATTCATCCGTTTATAAAATAAAAGCTTTTCAGTTTGGCCGCTAACCATCGACTTAACAATAATAATAATAATAATCCTCGCATTTGATACAGCCCCTTATCACGTCTTCCAGACGTCTCAAAGCGCTTCGCAGGATACACTGTAAAGCCGATTTGACTGTATATTTTGTCTTGCTCTCTCCAGGAGGGTAAACCCATCTACATGGCAGTGAAGGGAGTTGTGTTTGACGTCACATCAGGGAAGGGTAAGGATTAGTTTGGATGTACATCTCTCTCCTCTCTCTCTCTCTCTCTCTCTCTCTCAAACCCTATGTTAGCAAAGTATTGTGTTAAATCTGATATGAAAGCTGAACGTTTCCAGTTATCCAGCTGATACCCTCCTGTCCTCCCTGCCCTCCACTATCCCTGTTCCCACCCCCACTACCCCACCCACCCAGCTCGGGTCCAAATCCCTGACTGTCCAATGCCTTGTGACGTCCTCCCGACGTGGAAGGCGCTATAATTATATAAATGTCATTTTGTATTGTCCTGAAGTTTTCCTCTTTGCCGTAGAAAATCCTTTACCGTCCATTTTCTATTGAGTGTAACACAGTGACACAAGGAGGCTCGAGGCTTGGGTGGGTGGTGGTGGGGGGGGTGGGCTGGGTTGGAGAGCTGACTGTTCTGGTAAGTCCAGAGGGATCGTTAAAAGATACCACGATTTGCACAGACTTAATGGGCTGAATGGCCTCCTCCTGCGCTGAAATGTTCTAATGATTCCTAAGAGCACGCAGTTCTTACTCATTATTCCCTCATCAAATGTTATCGAATAAAACTAGATTTGTTTCTAAATTGCTGTTTGTGGGAGAGAGATTGTCGGGTTCTCGTCAATAATAAACAGCGTCTACGCTTCGAGGTAACATCGATGTGTGAAATGCACTGAGAATAATTCAACGTAGAAATGTGCAGTCCTAAAGTCTCGCAGCACTCAACTCAAGGACACCGTCCGGGAAGATGTAATATAGTCGTGTGCCGTGTGAAGTCCAACTATTGTTCCACCAACAAATTTACATTTATACACTGTCTTTCATGTTGGACGGAGGTCCCAAGACAATGGACACCCCAAGGTTTGCACCTGAGCTTGGGATGGGGATGGGGATTGGTGGGGTGGAGCGGGGGGGGAAATGGCAAAGCAGAAGGGTTTTGAGGCAGACCTTGAAGGAGGCAGAGGGAAGGGGTGATCCGGAGGACCTCCGGGATGGAAGGAGTAAATTGGATGGGATGAAAGGCCTTTCTTAGCCTCGAGGGGTAAATATCCTGAGCCCTTAAACAAAGGCCGTGGGGATCATTGAACACGTTGGGAAAGGATGCAAGAGTTTGAAGGGGGTGAGCGAGCGAAGGCTCGATTAAAATGAGTTTTATTGTACGAGGGTATTAAAGGCGGGGACAGAGCCACAGCTCACAGATTACATGTATTTTGTGAAAATACAGAACTTGGAACTAATGCTAAATACCTGGGCAGTTACTGCTCTGTCAGGTGAGTTTCTTTCACTGGGTCACTTGCTACCAGCGCTGAATTGAGTTAGAAAATAATGACATTGCAATAAAGGCTGTTTTTTTTGTTTAAAGTTCTTTTTGTGTGTGTGACCTACAGAGTATTACGGCAAAGATTCGCCTTACAATAAGCTGGCAGGGAAGGATTCAACCCGAGCGGTAGCAAAGATGTCTCTGCGAGCCAAAGACCTCACACACGACACTGTGAGTCTTTCAATCCTTCAGTTGTCTTTCATTCTTTCAATAGTTTGGAGTTGAACATCCTGTACTGGGAAATTGGGCAGCTGCGTCCTATAAGGGACTGTTTGTGGGGACGCTGCTGTGCGCAATTGGCTGCCGCCTATCACCCATAAAATATACAGTCAATTCACTTTACAGTATATCCTGTGAAGCGCTTTGAGACGTCTCGGAAGACGTGACAAGGCGCTGTATTAAATGCAAGGATTAGTATTATCTGCCCGTCTGGTTCCATTGAAATAATGTTGTACTACTTGTCCCAAACCTACCTCAATAGATTCCTTCACCGCATCGTTATCTAACCCTCTCTGGAATCTGCTGACATATTCTGCCTCCACCAATTCCACGGGTCATCAATTTCCATACATTCACCATGCTCCGGGTAAAATATTACACCCGCAAGTGTCTGGGGCTTTTCCTCTTCTAACCTTGTCTGTGTCCGCTTATTCTAGAATTTTTTTTTTTGGCCATGTTAATGTGAATATATGGAAGTGCTAAATGATTCGATCCTTTTTAAAAAAAGCTGTAGGGATTAACATTCGGTCGAGCAACCCTGAGACCTGGTTAAACTCCAGCCCAAGTGAGCTCTTGATCCTGCTTCTGTGCCAATCTCAGTATTTCAACCACACCTTGTTTTTTTTACTCAGTGGCCTTCCAAGTACAATAACATCTTGGAGTATGGTACAGGGGTGGGGTTGGATGCCAAGCAAATGACGAGGGGGTTAGGAGGAGGTGCCTTAATAATAATAATAATAATCCTTGCATTTGATTTAGCGCTTTTTACGTCGGGAGGACGTTCCCAAAGCGCTTCACAGAACACACTGTAAAGTGAATTGACTGTATATTTGTGGGCGAACGCGGCAGCCAATTGCGCACAGCAATGTCCCACAGACAGTCGTAGATTGAAAATGACCAATTTATTATTGTTTTGGGTTTTGGAGGGAATATTATTAGGCTCTGTGTGGAGTAAGGAAACTTGCCCAAGGTTTCGCCCTCTGCCTGGAATTGAACCCAGGTCTCTCGCTTGCAAAGCGAGTGCTCTAACCACTGAGCTACAGGACTCCACAAGTCTTGACCATAGGGGTAGTGGAAGAGATAGGTTTTCAGGTGCGACTTAAAGGTGGATAAAGAGAGACGGATCAGGGAATAGTTGTCCGACTCTCAGCTTTTTACGGTCACGGGCGATAATTGTCGCATCGTGATCCGTCGGATGACATTCCCGGGGACAAATGGCTCTTAATGCCTGACCCACCCCTGCAGTATCGATGCCACGCAGCTCGCATGCACCATCGAGAGACCATGTCTGTTCCACGTACTGACTCCTCAATCGCCAGCGTGGGACCAATTGATCTTTGTGTCCTAATGTAGCGAGGAATAGAGAATTTAGTGGGAGAATAGAGAGCGTGTTTGTGAGCATCGGTGGAAGCTGCTGAATTGTCTTCTGGGCAATGTATTAAGGAATTCTTTAATCACAATTTTCTTCATTTTTTAAAAAAAAATCAAACTTAACTCGGGAGGGTGAACTTCATCCAAGGCACAAGTTCATCGGTGGTAAACGGAATCGGCTTTAGGCGATGTCGTGTCGTCAAACAGACTGTACAGGGGGAAAAACGTTTTACTGTCTTGCTGTCTGTGGGGACAATCGCACGTGTATATCTTGCTTCACGTTTTTGTCATTTTAATCTTTTAAACCATATGCTTGGTGAGTGCCAGTCCGCCCCAAAACTATAGCGTACTGACGAGTTATCGTCACGGAAGAGAAATAGTAATCCTTTGTCATCCAATACTTTATTCAAGTACTTAAATGAATGTATTTTCAGCTTATTACAAAGGAGACGAGTATAAAAATCAGTTGGATGCTTGTACTAATACAAGGTTCATTCCTGTCGAGAATTGACTATTGTGTTTAAAATGCTAGTTGGAATTCACCCATTTAGTATATATATATATATATCACTGTACTATGATTATTACTGTATGATATGATCATTACTGTAAGATATGATTATTACTGGAGTCCTGTAGCTCAGTGGTTAGAGCACTCGCTTTGCAAGCGAGACACCTGGGCTCAATTCCAGGCAGAGGGCGAAACCTTGGGCAAGTTTCCTTACTCCACACAGAGGCTAATAATTCTCCAAAAAACAAACCAATAATAAATTGGTCATTTTCAATCCACGACTGTTTGTGGGACACTGCTGTGCGCAATTGGCTGCTGCATTTCGCCCACAAATATACAAACAATTGGTTTTACAGTGTATTCTGTGAAGCGCTTTGAGACGTCGAGAAGACGTGAAAAGCGCTATATCAAATGCAAGGATTATTATTATTATTATTACCGGGGACGAAGCACAACGTAACCTGTTCAGAAACTACCTCAAGCATTTATCCACTCAGTAGGGATAGTCATGAGCTACTCTTCGAGTAATTCCTCAGCACCCATTGGATTTGGGATATGGGGAGGCGAGCCTGATGGGTTAGTGGACGGAGCTCCCTGGCTGAACGTTCTGGTCGCAGACAGGGGCCGGACGGTGGAGGCTAAATGGTCCCGAGTCTTCCCCAGAGTTAGGGAAATGGAAAGCCAGCCAGGGTTCTCCTGCTCGCGGTCTCCCTTCAGGCCCCTCTGCTGGTTGTGCTTCCGTGTGGCGGTTGGGTGTTAGCTGTGATTCCCCTTTTTAACAGTCTGAGCCGTGACTCCCCCCCCCCCCTTTTTTTCTGGTTGAGTGCCCCTAACGACACTCACTGCCAAGGCTCGCATCAGATGGCAAACGCCGTTGGTGGAAACTTCACCCCACTTAGACGGGTGGGGGTGGGGTGGGGGGGGGGGGGCGGGGCAGCGAGGCACGTGCCAAAGGAGAAGAAAATTAAGAGGTGGGGGGGGAAAAAAAGTAATCGGAACGCATGATATTAAAAAAAGAACATCGACCTCGCCACTGTTGGGGGGGAGCTGTTAGCGCAAATCAGCCACCGCTTAATAACTTCTATTTTGCATGGATATCTCGTGGCTGTTTTATTTCCTTTTGAGTCACGGTTCCTGTAATAGCTTTTAAATATTTCTCCTGCCTTCTCTCCCCCCACACCCCCCTTCCCTCTCTCCAACCCCCCCCCCTTTCCCCCCTTCGCTTTGTGTTGACAGAGGGGACTTGGCGAATATGAATTGCAGTCTCTTGACAACACCTTCAACAACGTGTACAAAGCAAAGTATCCTATTGTTGGCTACACATCTCGCCGGATCCTGAATGCGGACGGCACTCCCAACGCTGACTTCAAGCCCGAAGATCAGCCCCACTTCAACATTAAGGAAGAGTTTTGACACACTTTCTGAGTGAAGCCTTCGACCAAGCTCCAGCATTTTGTATTGGAGCTGAATTTTGTAGTGGTTTGTTATACACTGTTGTAATTGTTTGTCCTTCTCATTCAGATTAAGAACAGAATCTTCTTGGCAGGGGTTGTAAGCGTTTATGCGGTGATGGTGAGGCATTGTAGCAAATGCGAGGATTATTATTATTATTTAATATTTTAAAAAAACAAATTAACAGACAATGATCTGAATTTGTATTCTGTTACTATCCTTTTGGGGAAAAACAATGTTAAAAAAAGCTTTGTCTCATCGAGGTATTCCCATATGTATTGACTTTATTTTAATAACCCATGAACCTCTTTTTTTTCCCGAAATTTTGCTCTATGGCTGAATAGAAAAGCAGGGTTTAAAACAACAATCTGCCTGGTGAACCCATATGATACTGTTCTGACTTCACTGCCGTCTGCAGTCACAAAAGCTCTCAAAATGAGACGTGCAGTTTTGCCACTGGAGAGGCTGCAAAGGTAGATAGTCTGAGAGAGCTAATCAATACTGCAGTCAGATATACATTTTGGCACCTCTCCTGAGTAACTGAGCTGTTCTGGTGCGAGCCAAGAAGGTCCCAGGTCTGATATTTCCCTGATCTGTGTTAGCTGAGCTCAGATAGTAGAGCTTCAGTTGGCCTTCGCAGGGTCCAGCTCTGGCTTGTTACTCTGTTGGACGGGCACATATGTGCACATCCGTTGAAGCCAGGATTGTGTTCACCGGGAATTCTTTCTCTTCCCAGCTGAATAAGCCTCCATCGCTCTTATCAAGGCTGATGATGGCTATTAGGGCAATGTACCAGAGTATGGGCTTGTTACTCAAGGAACTGTACTGTAGCAGAAGGAAAAAGAAGCTGAAGGCTTCAGAAGGTGAGGGAAGAAAGAGACCCGGCTTTTACCACAGCGACGATGTACATAATTCTTCAATCTGCAGCACTCCCCAACAGTTTTATGTTTGTTGAAGTTTGTTGTTTTCCCCAATGTTAAGGTGCATTTTAAAGCACTTCTTTTTTAAATTAAAAGTTGGAAGTATCTTTAGTAATCGCATTCTGTAAGTTCCCAGAATCAATATAAACCTACCTTTTCAATTGGACTTTTGTGAAAAAGCTATTTTGAGTTGCGAGTGTAATGTCTGCGCACCTTGTGGTTGTATTCGCACTTTCCAACAACAATTTTGCATTTCTACGGTGCTATCATGGCGACAGGATGTCTCCCAACACTTCACAGAGCCGACTGGGAGTCTGAGCTGAGACTCAGTGTAGCCGAGGATGGTTGGGAATCGTGACCAAAGCACAGTTGGAAAATACCTCAAAGTGCTTCATAAATATCTCCATTCAGTGAGCAGGTGGAAAGGGGGTGGATAGTCAAGTGAGATTTGCTTCTGGGACTGGGAATAAAACCAATCCACACTTAACAACTGCACATTGGGTACTCTTAATGACCGGCAGATCCAAAATCTTGGAACAGATGTAATGTCCCAACGCAGCTCTGGCAAATAAGAGAAGTAATAATTTCACCCCCAGGTGGGATAAAGAATATATGATCTTAAAGAAGCTTAAAATCTACCGTTGATGAGATGTTGCAATTGAAACGAGCCCTCATCCTGCTGATTTGAATAGGCTTGATAGGTGTTGTCTTGGCTCGAATGGTTTGCACTCACATCCCTGAGACATTTGATCTCGTCGTCCAATGTGACACTCCAATGCAATGCTGGGGGTGTGCTGTACTATCGGGGGTGCCATCCTTTGTATGAGACATTAAACCTGTCTAACCCATGTAGGTGGGTGTTAAAGATCCTGTGACACTGGTATTCAAAAAGAGGATGGAGGTTCTCTTGGTGTCATGGTCAACAATCCCCCATCTAAAAGTAGTCTGGGACATTTCTATGTACAGCTCCTGCATTTACATCATTATTATTATTATTACCTGCAAGTCACTTTACTGAACCCCTGTCAGTATATTATTATTATTATAGAGACAGATTGTATAGATAGCAATCGGTTAACACTGATAATGAGAAATCATGTATCACAGTGATAGTATTGGCAAATGATGTATTTTAAATTGTTCATGAGGGCCACTTCCATGCGTGTTGGGTAGAAGGACTGGACGAACGAGCAGGGAATGAGTGTTTTTAATGCAATGAAAATTGATGCGACAGAGACAAGTCGTTTCTTAAGTCGAGGTGAACGGAAGGCCGCTTGGAGACTACGGTCTCACACGAGGGCAAATTGGTAAAAATGCAGCTGAACGGCAGCCCCGCCAGTTAACGGTTATCAAACTAAAAGATTGTGTGCCCATTAGGCTGCAAGAAGAACCGCGTTTACAAGGATGACTTTTGTTGGTTGTTAATTATGTGATTCATGACTTCCCTAACTCCCCCTGTGCACAATTATTACACAAGGTCTCTGGGACCCTAACCCTGCGTGAGAAACCCTATATAAATGCAAGCTGTTGTTGTACTTACACGTGATTTAATCACACAATTGACTCTTTATTTTTCGGAATAAGTACACACGTGGAAAACCTTCCCAGAAAGAAAAATATACATTCCCAGAAAATCCAAGATAAAGCAATACAGTGAATACAGTGTATAAAAGCACTCTTGATCTCCCTGCTTCCACCACTGTTTGTGGGGAACGCTGCTGTGCGCAATTGGCTGTCGCGTTTCACCCACAAAATATCCAGTCAATTCACTTTACAGTGTATTCTGTGAATTGTATTCTTTGGAGTCCTGTAGCTCAGTGGTTAGAGCACTCGCTTTGCAAGTGAGAGACCTGAGTTCAATTCCAGGTAGAGGGCGAAACCTTGGGCAAGTTTCCTTACTCCACACAGAGCCTAATAATAATCCCTCCAAAACCCAAAACAATAATAAATTGGTCATTTTCAATCCACGACTGTTTGTGGGACATTGCTGTGCGCAATTGGCTGCCGCGTTCGCCCACAAATATACAGTCAATTCACTTTACAGTGTGTTCTGTGAAGCGCTTTGGGACGTCCTCCTGACGTGAAAAGCGCTATATCAAATGCAAGGATTATTATTATTATTATTATTATTCTGTGAAGAGCTTTGAGACGTCTCGAAGACATGATGAGGGGCTATGCAAGGATTTTTTGCATTATTATATTTTTACTTCATACCTATTCTTTACATCCTTGTTCCTGGATTCAGTTCCCATCGCGGGTACTCTTTCCTGGATCTGTACAGGAAGTCTTTTTTAAAAAAAAATCTGAACCGCTGAAAAGAATCTGAAAAGGAATTTTGTGAAATCAGAGGAGGTGAAGATCGAGGGGAATTTATGACAAGTGAAATAAAAACAAATTACACGGAAAGAGAGCTGGTAGGAATGTACACCACTGAAGGAATGTATAATGTGTCCTTGTGAGTCAGCAAGAGGAGAGCTAACATAAGAGGAAGAGCTGGGTGTGGGAGGATGTAATGATTAATCGCGAGTCAAAAAGGCAAGGACACAAAATGTGATTTAAAATCAGTGTTCTTCATGATAACATTTTCTAAATGTTGGTCATTTCGATCGCTTTGAACGTATGCCCTTGCTTTCCATGTCCGTTCCGCTCACCCTTCATCAAAATGACTTTGACGTTTATAATAATAATAATAATAATCCTTGCATTTGATATAGCGCTTTTCACGTCGGGAGGACGTCCCAAAGCGCTTCACAGAACACACTGTAAAGTGAATTGACTGTATATTTGTGGGCGAACGCGGCAGCCAATTGCGCACAGCAATGTCCCACAAACAGTCGTAGATTGAAAATGACCAATTTATTATTGTTTTTGGTTTTGGAGGATTATTATTAGGCTCTGTGTGGAGTAAGGAAACTTGCCCAAGGTTTCGCCCTCTGCCTGGAATTGAACTCCGGTCTCTCACTTGCAAAGCGAGTGCTCTAACCACTGAGCTACAGGACTCCACGAGTTTCCGGAAGATTGTTTTTACTTGAATGGGTTTCGCTTCTTTCTCTAGAAATTCCCCTTCTGTACCCTCTCCAATTTCAGTGTAAAACTGCATCTGCAATATTGGGAATCCTCCAGCTTAGCGGCTGGAGCACACGCCTGGCAAGCGAGAGGACCTTGGTTCGATTCCCAGGCAACAACAACAACAACAAAAAAATTACACGTGTAAAGCGCCTTTCACGTCGGGAGGACGTCCCAAGGCGCTGGACAGATAGAGTTTTGCACCCGAGCTGAGGGTCGGGGTGGGAGAAGGTGGAGGGCAGTGGGGGATAAAGCATGGTCGACGAGAAGGGTCTTGAGATGGGTCTTGAAGGTGGCGAGGGAGGGGGCGAGGTGGAGGGACTGCGGGTTGGAGTTCCAGTGGGTGGGGGCAGAGTGGCAGAAGGCCCGCCCGCCATTAGTGGAGGTCGCCGAGGCAGGGGGGAGCAAGACCACGGAGGGCTTTGAAGTCGAGGACCAGGATCATGAACTGTATCCTCTGTGTGATGGGAAGCCAGTGAAGTCGGGCGAGGATGTGGGTGATAGGGTCACGGAGCGGAGCCTGGAGCAGGAGAGGACATGGGTTCTGGATGATCTGCAGCCTATGGAGGGAGGAGCTGGGGAGGCCGACAAGCAAGGAGTTTGCATAGTCAAGCCAGAAATAGTAAGTAAGGAAACTGGCCTAAGCTTTACACCCAAGCAGAGCGGAACTATAGGCCGGTTTCCTTACTTATTATTTTGGGTTTGGATTCAGTCATTTTTTTTTATTGATTTCTCGGAAACCTTCCATTTAACTTTTTCAGGGTTGGTTCAGGATTGCACAACATTTTCGGGTTTCTTTAGATTACATTGCTAGTTTTGCTTCGACGATAATACTTTTGACACTAAATTGGTCACTTTGTGGTTTGTGTTTGTGGTTCACCCCTGTGCACAAATGTCTGCTGCGTTTCACCCATAAAATATACAGTCACTACACATTGCAGTATATCCTGTGAAGTGCTTTTGAGACGTCTCGAGGACGTGATAAGGCGCTGTATCAAATGTAAGGATTAGTATTATTATTATTGTAACCTGTTCTGCTCTAGAGCAGTTGGGGGCAGCATTGAACTGTGATCTGGGAAACTTCCAATGTTTCTGGACTGTTCCTGACTGGGAGATGCACTGAGCTGTTTGTCTGATAGCTTTTTATTTTATATTTGATGGTAACTATGTAATTATCACTTTGAAATATTTTTCTTGTCTGTAATTAAGGGAAGGGAGTTTCTCTCGGTGTCCTGGTCAACAACAACAAATTTACAATAACAACTTGCATTTATGCAGTGCTCCTCACACAGGAGCACTTAACTCTGAGAGCTAGTAAAGTCTTACACATTTATACAGCACCTTCCACATTGGGAGGAGGTCTCGAGGCACTGGATGGTCCATGGGGTGCACCCGAACTGGGGGTGGGGTGGGAGGGGGGCCCGAGAGGGTGGGGGAGAGGGGTGGAGGAAATATACGGACAAAGGCGCAGTCAATGAGGATGGTCTTGAGGTGGACCGTAAAGGAGGTGATTGAAAAGGGGCAAGTCATAAGGACTCCAAAATAGAGCTCCAGAGAGTGGGGTTGATCAGGTCGATCAAATAAATTTGATTGTTCATTTCATGGTGTTTGTGGGTTCATTGCCACACATAAATTTTCTGCTGCGTTCACCTACAACAGACAGTCACTGCACTTCACGATAAAGTCCTGTGGAGTGCTTGAGGATGTCCTCCTGAAGTAAAAGGTGCTACAACAAATGTAAAGATTTTATTATTTAAAAACACTCGATCTTGGTTTGATTGTGTATCAAGTTCGAAAGTCGGAGAACGTTACTTGAAAATCAACATTTTTACACACACACTGATGATAATCCTTGCATTTGATAGGCACCTTGGCTCATTGAGACATCTCAAAGGCGAAAGGCATAAAGTACAAGAAATCTGTGGGACAGCAAGGTAAGCTACTCGCACACTCATGCTGACCTGCTCCATTGCCTGTCTATTAGTGTGTAACAGTCCATCATACACGAGGAAGAACGAGGGACTCTTGCATTTATGATCGGAGGAAAGATCAATCGTGAGTCTTCAAGCAAATGGGAGAGTAAAGCTTGTAATGTTTCAT